CATAACAAATCATTTCTTCTCATTCATCTCTAAGAATCGCTCCTCATGTAATTTTGAATTGAAATCTTCGACAGTTTCGAAGGTGAATGGTTGAGCAAGCGCCAAGTTCTGCAGCGCCCGACCAGCCTGAGATACGAATGTTACAAATTCATGCTGGTCTCCTGGGATTACTTCGAGATGTCCGTCTCGATTCCACATAAATAATTTCTGATGAGCCGTCGAAGGCACGACTCCTACTCCATGAATCCACTCTCTGCCAAGTAATGCATTAAAGTTGGCATGTGATTGGACCACAACGAACACAGTAGGCCTCGAGTAAGTGCCCACTTTCACATCCAAGGCAATCATGCCTTCTGAACTTGATGTTTTTCCGCTGAAATCGGAAATCATAATATTATGCTTGACTAAGTCTTTCAGTTCAATGCCAAATTTCTTTAGCATATTAATTGGCAGTATGTTTACCGCTGCTCCACCATCGACAAGGACTCTATTCACCATCTGTCCTTGAATCTCGATATTCAATAATAAAGGTTTCAGGTGGAACCTCATTTCCTCAGATGGAGGATCAATAAAAGCAGCGTTTCTATGAGGAACTTCACACGAGGTTTGTGTTACCCATGTTATCTTTGGCCTTATGCTTTCCGAATAGAAATCATCTTCCCGCTTGGCATCTCTTTGTTCTTGGTATTCTTTGTATTCGCTAACATATTCCGCGGGTAGAATTGATATTACCCCGATTTGATGTTCATCCCAAGTACCCTCATTCTTATCATCGAAAAATTCTCTTGCATATTGACTCTCCATCGGCACAATATTCTCTTCAAAGTTTCTATAATTATTCCAATAAGGGATCCTTCCTCCTCTTCTCCAGGGCCTTCCTCGGAATCTCCTTTGGAATGTTGGAAATCCAATGTTCGATCCTTCATCGTATGACAATCTCTCGAAGACATCATTGCTCTGAAGTCTGCCTCTTCCTCCTCGAGAAGGATACATCTCTCTTCTGACCCATTGCCTCTGATTTCCGCTAACACCAGAACCAACGGATTTCTGTTGACTTTCTTCGATCGTTGGTCGGGCCGTTTGATCCACTTTGTCATTTTTCCTTTTATTCTGGCTCTCGATCTTCTTTATCTGTTCTAATCTGAAGGTTTTAGCAGCCGATTTATCGAACACCGCACTGCATCGTGGGCATAACGACACGTCTTCGTCTTTTTCTTTCTTCTTATTCAAAAACTCAATTAGGGAATCCCCTGATCGAGGGTAGATCTCCTTTTCGAACTCCTTCTCGAATTCACTCAGATTGAATTCCATATCTTCTTCAGACACGTCCATTCTAACATGTTTAGATCAATGTCTTCAGTAACATCGACCATGCCTACAAAGGCAGAATTCATCACTCGGGCATCCTCAGTCATGCCCGTTTGGGATTCAATGTATCCCACTTGCACTTCGAATGGACTCGTATCCACTTTCATCGACATTTCTTCAAATTTCAGTCTTCCTTGGTCAATCGCATCTTGGATCGTATTCCTGAAATGTATGCAATTGTTAGTCCAATGTCCAAAAACATTATGAAATTTACAATATTTTCAACCATTCCTTTGTTCTGTCGTAGGCAGTTTATGATCTCCGCTCAACTTAATTTGTTTGTCTTTTAATAAAATATCGAAGATTTTATCAGCCTTTGTCACATCGAAAGTATATGTTCGATTTGCCATTTTGTCTTTTACTTCATTTTTTTTGTAATAATTTACAGATATATGGAGCTCCTACTTTGAGCTCTGCTATATTTACTTTCTCATCGACAGTCTCTTCCACATCATTCTCTGTCGTGGGATCTGTTTCATACACATCATTTATATATGCTATTCTTTCTTTCTTCATCGGTTTCTCAAATTTCTTATATCTTTGTTTTTCATACTCAATTTGTTCTACTCTTCTCACTTTATCAGCTAACTGAGCCATGTCATTTAATGGTAAATTGACTAACTTTTTCCTAATCGAAAATTCTAAGCCTGCAGAGGTCATTCTGACTAATTCATATTCAGGAATTTGAGTAAAACATCTCGATTTCATTTGTCTAAATCGATTCAAATAATCATCTATGCTTTCATGATTGTATCTTTTTATATTCATCAAGTCGATGAGACTTACTTGAGTTTCTCCTCTAAAGAATTGCTCATGAAAATTTCTTTCCAGTTGCAGCCAATTATATATCGAATTGGGTGGCAACAAAGTAAACCAAGTAAAAGCATTCTTCGTCAAGGAACTAGGGAAATATTTCATTTTTAATTCCTCACTCATCGCGAGATCTCCACATTCGATCTGATATCGAACTACATGCTCGATAGTTGATTCACCAACTTCTCCAGCAAATTTGGTGAATTTAGGTACTTTGTATCCTCGAGGTAATTCCGTCTCGAGAATCGTATTTGGAAAAGGAGACACAAAGTATGTTTGGTTGGGTGGTCTAAATTTTATCCCTTGGAAATTCATCCTTTGTCCTAACATGTGATTATTTTGCATGTTATTTTGATTATACATATTTTGAAATCCCTCATTCATATTGCCATAAATATCATTTCTTCCATGTTGGTATTCATTCCCTATTTGTTGATCATTGTTCCGATTTCTCCTCAATAGATATGGGGGATTAATGTTAGCATTCTGGTTAACATGATTTTCTATCCTTGTTTGTCGAGGTATTACCAATGCATCCCCGATACGTGACATTTGATCTGCTAATATCTCGAAACTAGCAGTAGTGTTTTGAACTAATGGGTTTAAGACTGTAGTCAACTGTTGTGATAACATATTTACCATTTCAAAGTTGCTCTCATCCATTTGTTGCCTAAGTATTCCTAATGAGTTACTGGAAACTCCAGTACCAGTATTATCGGGAGTCTCAAGATTAGATTGGTGATAGTCTCTATCAAATGCGTATCTCCCATGATCCAAGTTTCCTCTATAATCTAGATTTGGAGGTGTCTGTTGTGTGCCTGAATTCTGTCCACTCCCTGAATTCTGGGGGATTGTTAAGTTTTGAGATGCCCCTAAATTTGGAGGGACTCCAAAATTTTGTGGCATACCTAGTGTTTGAGGCATTCCTAAGTTATATCTCGGAATTTTATGTATCGATGAAGTACCGACCCCATTCATATTATTGAGCAAAAAACCAGGCGGTCTTACACTCGTATATGGCCCTGCATATGTTGTTGTGGGGTTTCCCATATTTTGTGTATTATTCGGTGCCACCGTACTAGATCCTACTTGGGTGTTTACTATTGTGCTTGAATTTTGTTCATTACTCACAGGTATCGACATGCTCGTAGTTGTCGATATTACAGGCATACTCTCATTGTGCCCTTGCCCCCCAGTATTTGGCGGAGGCACACCACTTAGACCCTCACTGTTACTCTGGTTATTTGATGAATTCTGGCTCATTCTTATAACTCTCCCACTCCTTAATCTCATACACTTTCGAACTAACCAATTTTGTGTTTTTCAACACAAGTTCCCCTACCTGGCGCGCCAATTTGTTTCTGGTGGAATTTCGATCGATTTCGACTCCTAAGATATTTTGATCCTAATAAAAATTCTACCACGTAAGTTCTTTTTGCTTAGGCTAGCAAATTAATTTTCAATCGAAATGTGTATGAGGATCGAATTTTATCCGATTTCAAAGGTACTATTTTTGGTGTTTTGTATTAAGAATACTCGAAGTAAAGAAAACAGGAAATATATGGAATCGAAAGACAAGGTCTTGAAACTTAGATCGCAAAGAAACGTAAACTACGAAAATCTTAAATTTGCTTTAAGTGTAAAAGACAGGGAATCGAAACAGCAACAATGTAAATACCGAGAAATCGAATTTGCAGGAAATGTAAAGGACAGTAAATCAAAGGTGCGATAAATGACTGGGAATCAAAAATTGCAAAAATGACCAAGGGATTTAAATACGGAAACTTAACTTGCATTAAATCGAAATGATGAAGAATCGAAAATACAGAAACATAAAATTGCTGAATATAAATTGCATCAAAATAAATTACCAAGGAAAATAAAGAAAGCGATAAAGGTACTCCGTGAGCATGGAAACCCAGATTGCCAGAAGCTTCATGGTGTTCGTCGTTTCTCCGGTAGACTTTTTCACTACTAATCATGTTCTCTGCCAATTTCCACCCCCCTGTTCCTTCCTCCTTTGCTCTATTTATAGGGCATCATTCAAGCCTTCCAGGGGCAGTTAACAAAACTGCTACCACGTTCTACGTGCATGTTGCAGTTTATCTTCTACAGTTTCCCACGTTCTCACGATCTTCGACTTCTATTATGGTTTAGAAACTGCTTCCTATATGTGCGTTTGACTATTCTTCTTTTCACGGTTTGGCCAAAGTTTCGATGTCCACGCAGGTTGGCTTTCTTCACTTTCGATTTTGTGTTTTCGAGAACTCCAAATTGCTTACGGTTCCTTTTTTTTAACCTTGATCTCATATAACTCTAATTTCTTAGTTTTTATTCGATAATAGACATTTGGTTATCATTCACTCGATACTCGATTGTGCTTCTCGATGTTATGTGCTACGTACTTCTAATTAGACATCAAATGATTTTTTTTTTTATCTATCTTATCGATTTATCAATCAGTCACATTTCTTTCCTTCGTTTTCGATCGCTTTTCTCGATTTGCCACTAACAGAAATATATTTTAGATGTAAGATAAAAAATGTATATTGTGTTCATTTGATATATATTGTGTTGTATTGAATTTTTATGTTCATATAATGCAAAGTGCATTTAACTATTCATGATCTAATAAAAAAATATGGTTTTATATTTAATTTATTATGGAATATAAAGAATGAGAATAAAAAGGCTTGTTTTTATCCGAGGATGTGTTTGTTGAGCCCAACCCGAAAGAAGCCCAACCCATGTAAAACCTAAAACCTAGTTGTTTATACAGACGGATACATTGGTGTGAGAAACCATAGAGCGAGGGAACGATGTCGAAGAGACGACGCGGTGGATCGGCGGGGAACAAGTTCCGCATGTCGCTGGGTCTGCCAGTGGCTGCGACAGTGAACTGCGCGGACAACACGGGGGCGAAGAACCTGTACATCATCTCGGTGAAAGGAATCAAAGGTCGTCTGAATCGTCTTCCTTCGGCATGCGTGGGCGATATGGTGATGGCCACCGTGAAGAAGGGGAAACCCGATCTCAGGAAGAAGGTCTTGCCAGCTGTCATCGTTCGGCAGCGCAAGCCCTGGCGCCGAAAGGACGGCGTTTACATGTACTTCGAAGGTACCTTCATTCTCACCACTCACGCTATTTCACTTAGTTCCTTTTACTCTCGCTATTTCATTTGATTTTGTTTGTTTGTTATGTTTTCTATGTTACGTGTTGCTTCTGTGTTAATATTAAGCTGAGTGCCCCATTCCATGATTGGACACTTGCACTGGGAAGCATATAGCAGTAAAATTGCCAGTTTTAAACAGCATGATGTATTATTTTCTTTGCATTGTGTTACCTGTCTGCTGGTAAATCCCTTTGTTTAACAATGAATTTTTGTTATATGAGGATGTTTTTTAATTTAGATTTATTGAATTTCTTATATGTAGTTTAGGCCTAATGACTTCTTAGTTTATGTTTTAAGATTTATGGGAAAGTTATTACTCAAGTTTTGTTCTTACATTTGTTTTAACTAAGTCATCTGTGCTTATATTTTCTTCATGGTTTTTGCAGATAATGCTGGTGTGATTGTCAATCCCAAGGGTGAAATGAAAGGTATCTTTTCTTCATTTTCTGTTTTATTTTCATGGTACCAAAATGCACTGCATATTTAAGCTGTTGTGAGCATGCAACCACTGTTTTTTAAGTTCAAAAATGAAAAGAAGAAATAGAAATAGATGATATATTTGCTATTCAACTTGTTAGGGTTTCATGTTTGCCTTTTGACCTTAGTTGCGGCTTGTACTTGTAGTAAATTTTGTTTTCTTGATATTTTAGGTTCTGCTATCACTGGTCCTATCGGAAAGGAGTGTGCTGATCTGTGGCCAAGGATTGCTAGTGCAGCCAATGCCATCGTTTGAGTGGAAATTCTTATTAAATGCTGTGTTTCCTCTTGTTGAACTTATATTTGCCTTTGTTTTAGCTTGAAATTGAATTGAAGTGATACAGTTTTCTTTTTTCTTAATTTTGTTTTAACTTGTCAGCAAGAAACATTTTGAAGAGACGAGATTAATTTGTAGTTGAGAATTTTGTTCTTTTTCCTTGACCCACAGTAATGTTGTCTGTTCCTTTATACACTATTTGTGTGACCTATTGTTTGTGCTTCAATTTATCATTGTTCTACTTTCGATTTATACTAATTCTGAAGAGAGAGATTGAAATGAAATTTGATGCTATGTGAGATATAATGAGAAATTTGATGATCTTAAATAGAGACTAAGTACCGTGATTGTGTGGATATTGTTGTTAAAGAAAGTATGAATAATTGTCAAGTCTTGTAGCTGAAGGTTGAGTGTGAAATGGGTGTTACTGAATTGAACAATCGTGAAGTAGAATGATAAATATGGTAGTTGATTACGAATGAGGTGATATAGTACATAATATCAAACAAATATTTGAGATAAAAAGATAATTTTGTGGTAGGATAGAAATTAACTTGAGCATCTTGAGAGAGAAGTTTGTAGCAGTTAAAATAGTTTAAAGAGTTTAACTCAAGAGTGATGAGACTAGGGTTTTTTTTTTCTAATTTATGATCATCCCTTAATTTCGTTTGGATGATTAAATTAATAAAAATAAAAATGAAAATATAATTAAAAAAAGAAATTCTTTTATTAAAAAAAGATATTTTACTAAAATATTTATTAATAAAATAAAAAATATCTTTCTATTCCAATTTATTATTTTCTCTCCCTCAATTGTTACACACTCACGATCTCTTAGTAAAAACTTAATTCCTTTATTGGTAACCTTTTTTCCACATTTATTCCCATGCCTTTCACCGAGTGCAGCGTATGCATGTCCCCATTACCGTAATATGATAGATAGCATGTATGTGTCACTCACTACTCACCATTGCATTCAGCGCCACATGAACCATTCTCCTTTTCCCTCTCACCCGTAAACCACTTCCCTCAATCTCCCATCGGTCTCGTGCCATCCGCGCCACCAATCCACCACTGCAAGCCACCAGATTCAACACAGACGGACGTAGTGACTTCAGTGAAGAGCCAGAATAAGATGAATTAAGATTATTAAATTATTATAATTATTTTTAAAATTTAAAATAATTGATGGGTTAGTATATGGTTCCAACTTACTTAACCCGTAGGTTAATTCACTGGGGTTGATTTTTAACCGGTTATCCATTATCGATGGAAATTAAAAAAATTGAACCGACCCATTGGGGAGTCGGGTTGGTTCAAGAGTTCCCATCCACCCTGACATCCCTAATCTCCTTCCTTCACCCTCGCTCACACTCCGCAGCTTTCTCCCTATCCAATCTTCCCAAACTCGCAGCGCAAAAACCCTAATTCTGTTCACCGTGGGTCATCCCATCGCACCACCGCAATCTCCAGCCATAGCGAGTTACGTCCTCATTTACTATCGTCATTGGCCGCGGGTCACAACCCGAATTTGGGTAGAAATTGCCGAACAGTTTTCAATTTAGAAGTTTTTAAACTAAAAAGTTTAAGACAACATTCTTGTCTTAAGGAATCCAACGATGCAAGAATATGAATGAATTTGGATGAGTTTCTTAAAAATAATTATTAAAAAAAAAGAAAAAACTTTTTTATAATTTACAAATAGTTTTTGTATAGTTTATATAATTTCTTTCATATAATTTTTTAAAAGTTCCATTTTAATTTATACATAGATAATTTTAATTTATAAAAGTTTCAAGTGCAAACACTCACGTATATCATTGTAGTTCTATTCGAAAAGCTAAACTCTGCGTGGCAAAAATCTATGGTTTATATGACTGTCCTCCTCTCTAGGTAAAACAAATAATATTATAGCAGCAAAGTTTGTTGGATGAGATCCACTACCATTTTTATAGGGTTAAAATTCAAAATCTCCTATTTTCCTTGATGACCTTGAAATGGATATTCTCTCCATTGTTTTCTATGAATAGAAATGCAGGTAACCTCAACAAACCATGTTTTCTGCCTAAATCTGTTCATTGACATGAATTAATCGTAAGCTATTTTGTTTCCAAATATAAGCAAATTTCATTGGTAAAGGGCTTCATAGAGTATATATACGCACATAGTTGCGTATTCATTTGATTGCCGGAGGTTTCTTAATATTCCACCTATTTGGCTGAGGTTAAATTCTCCTTGGCCACAATTATCCAAAATAAAAAATAAAAAATAAAAGAAAATAGAGAAAGAAAGAGAGATATAGATAGGGGAACCTCCATGGCTAAATTATACAGCATCTTCCTCTTAACATGTTTGGTAGTCACCATACCTACCTTGTATGCCAATGTCAAAGAGAATGACGAGTTTTGGAAAAGGCAAGCTAAAATATTAAATGATAAATATTGGCAAGGAAGAGAAGAAGTTGCTGAAGTAGAGAACCAAGAAGCTTATGTTACTGGACCATATAAATTCACCGAAAATGTGACTGATTCTGTTTCAGAGTGAGTTTTATCAGATATCATGTCCAATTCAATGGTGGTTATATGCCATGTTTCTTTCACCATTCATAGAATAAGGCTTTTTTTTTGTTTTTCTAATTGTCTGACATAATAGTATGATAACTGGTGAGATGAACGTTGGACGGAAATTGGCGGGGAAGCTCGCACATGATTCATGCGTGGCAACAAACCCGATTGACAGGTGTTGGAGGTGTGACTCCAAATGGGAAAAGAAACGCAAGAAGCTGGCAAATTGTGTGATAGGTTTTGGTAGAAACGCTATTGGTGGCAAGAATGGTCGAATCTATAAGGTAACCAGTAACTTAGATAAAGAACTGATCAATCCTGTTCCTGGTATTAGACATGCCGTTACCCGAAATGTACCTTTGTGGATCATCTTTTCACGTAGCATGACCATCAAGCTCAGCCAGGAGCTCATAGTGAATAGCGACAAGACCATTGATGGAATGGGGCTGGTTTTACTATCCAATTCGTCAAGAATGTGATCATCCATGGAATAAAAATTTTTGGCATTCAATCTCGCAAAGGTGAACTTATTAGAGATTCTGAGGACCACTATGGTATAAGGACTCGAAGTGATGGTGATGGAATTTCCATCTTTGGCTCTAGCCATGTTTGGATTGACCATGTTTCCATGAGAAACTGTAGTGATGGATTGATTGATGCCATTCAGGGTTCCACTGCTATTACCATATCCAATAGCCATTTCACAGACCACAATGAGGTGATTAGTTGTTTGTTTAGTTCCTCCATACATTTTTCTACTCCTGTATTTTAATGGAAATATGTTTAGCCTCTAATAAAAACTATTATCACATCATTTTTAGTAAATACATGACTTAAAGTTTATCAAATTTCAAGTCATTTTGATAAGCAAAACAATATTTTACCATTGAAAGTGTGTGGGCCAATTGAATTGACGTTAGATTGTATAGCTTTAACCAGGAATGTTGATTCCGAATTCTAAGTAAGCAACTATACTAAATAGTCATAGACAACATTTTCTCTCTTACAGTGATCTTACTCAGCTTGAGGGAGTTTCTATTGAAGAATATATGTATTCTCTACCAATAATTGTTTGATTATGTTTTTAATTCCCGGGTTTTGAATTGAAATGTTTCTTTGCCCGTTTTTGGTGTGTGTATGATGCAGGTGATGCTGTTTGGTGCTAGTGACAGCTATACTGCTGATAAGGTAATGCAGATCACACTGGCATTCAACCACTTTGGGAAGAGATTAGTCCAAAGGATGCCAAAATGCAGATTTGGTTTTGTCCATGTGGTTAACAACGACTACACTCATTGGTGGTAGCAAGCATCCTACAATTGTTAGTGAGGGCAACCGATTCATAGCCCCTTACGACAATAATGCTAAACGGGTATGCATAATGCAAAATGAAATTCACAAAAGTGGAATAAAAACCAGAAGACACTGACATATTTGGTGTTGGTGAAGGTAACAAAGAGGGACTACGCACCAGAGAAAGAGTGGAAAAAATGGCAATGGAGATCAATCAGGGATGAGCTCATGAATGGAGCCATATTCCTAGAAAGTTGGTCTCGTCTAACTAACAGGCCATTCGAAAGGAAGGACATGATATCATCCAAGCCTGGCACATATGTGGGAAGGCTCACTCGCTATGACATACCTTTTCATCTGTTAGAAGTCATCACAAAGTTCTTTCTCTCCATGTTTCTGTGACAGGGAAATTACACTAGAAAGTTTTAGTTAAATTTCCCGAGAATATCATGTATATACAATGTATGCTAGCTATTGCTTGTCCATTTGCATACACACGTATGCATGTAGAGATACAAAGATACTGTGGTATCTTCCATCTGGTGCGTAGCTTTAGTTGTTTATATATCAGTGTGAGAAACCAATTGGGTCATATTTTTTTTCTTTCTTTGTAGAGTTTGCTTTATTTCAGATGATCTTACTGCAGTTGAAAATTATCTTTGATTGGATATTTACTCATAGTTACGGTGGAGTCCTATTGAATGAAATATGTGACAAAAAAAAAGTTTAAATTTTAATTTAGGAAATTCGTCTCTAGCTTAATTACCTAATAAATTCGTGAACACTTTAAAAAAATATTAATAAAATCCTGAACTCTTTAAAAAAATTAATAATTATTCAAAAAAAATTGTACTCTTTAAAAATATTTATTCCATACCTAATGGAATTAGCTTTCTTGTGTGCTTCATTAATTCTATAAACTTCCTAAAAGTTGCATAATGAATTCCTGTAACCGAAATAATAATCAAGGCTTAGGTCTTGCTTAGTTACGGCAACGGGGCATGGCAGCAACGGGTCTTACCTCCCGATTTTTTTCTCTAACTTTTTTAATTGACTTTTTCTTTTTTATCTGTTCTCGATGTTCATCGAAGTTAAAAATTAAATTTTCATCATCATTCCGTTAGGTTTAGGTTTCTACATCCGTCTCATACCGATTTACATTATTAAAAAAAAAACATTTATAATAAATTGATTTTATTATTTTTATGTAACTTTTATAAATAGATAAATAATTATAATTTTATAATTTATAATAATTATTAAATATATATATATATATATTAATTTATTATATTTATATTAAAATATGTATATTAAAGAAATATTTAATTATTTTTTTATATGGATATAGAATATTTATAATATTATTATCATTACTATTTTTATTATAATATTATATTCAAATATTTGAATACTTACAACATAATTATTATAATATTATATTTAAACATTTAATTATATATATAAATTAATTCTTTTTTAAATTGTCTTTTAAAAGTATGAAATATATAATTTATAAGAAAATATTTAATAAGTTAATTTTTAATCAAAGTAATAAAAATTTAAATTATCAATTCTTTTTAATTCTTTAAAATATAATTATTTTATTAAAATAAAATTTGATATATGACAAATAAGAATAATAATATCTAAAAATATATTATATAATAAAATTTAATAAAGATAAATTATAAATAAAATAATATTAATTACTACTAATATTTACGTAAAATATTTATAAAAAAATAAAAAATAAGAAAAATTAACTTTGTGTTCATCAAATTGAATGAAAAAATTGAAAAAAAAAACAAATTGATTGGAGAGATGAAGAAAATATATAAAAAAAAGTGAAAAATAAGAGAAAGAGAATAATATAGTGAACTAATTGATATAAAGGATTAAAAAAATAAAATAATTAAAAATAAAATAATTTTTTTTTGTGAAATATAAAAAAATTGATTTTATATGTAATAAAAAAATATTTTTAAATATTAATATTTTAAAATTTAAATTTAAATATAAAATCGGGCGTGGGGACAAGGTCGAGGCCGGGTTGGAGATTGCATTACTCATTCTTACCCCGTTCCCAACTTTTTAAAATGAGAAAAACTTAAACCCGTCCATACTCCCGATTAACTCAATTTTTTCTCGTCAAACTCAAGATAGAGAAAAATCAGTCATCACGAAGGAAAGTAAGGTCATGAGTTTTACGTTATGAATTTATTTAAGAAATATAAATTTTTCAACTTAGCAAAAAAATAATAAAAATAATCACAATAAAAGAACATTAATACCAATATTTTTAACGTATAAATTTTCTCTCAATGAAATCAAATGTATAAATAAATATCTAACAAACAATAATGTTTCAAATTTGAAGAAAAGGAAAGAGAAATCTAAAAATATAAGAACAATTTTCCAGTTAACAATCCGGTCAAAAATGAAGAATCATAGTGTTAAAATTTTAGTCTAATAAAACTGTGTTAACAATTTTAGAATCACTAATTTTAGTAAGGTTGCTCCCTGAGTATGCAAACAATTTCCCTTTTTATTTTTGTTTTTCTCTTCTGAAAAACTACTAAAATTTACACCATCTCTTAATCTACAATATCCCTCGCCACTTAGGAAGTGAGACTTAACTAGTTTAAATTTTTTAGAGACAAATGGGAGTCAAAAACTTGAACGGTACTAAATTTCATCTTAAAGGTTTTGTGATACAAACCAACTAGTTGATCCAGACCCAATAAGGAATGATGACCCAATATTAGGAAAACGAGCAAGAAAGAAGTCAGCGTGGATGACTGACTATGTCTACGGAAGAAGAAATTAAAAGATCTTGATATGCTCAAATTAATTCCTGAAATTTCTGCTGCAAATTATTAGTTTAATTCCTGTTTTATTTTCCTAATTTTTGCTTGATTGTTAACATCCAATTCCTTTTAATAGCTATGATGTAAACAAATCAGGATGGAATAAAAAATTTCAAGATCCTTTTTCTTCCAAATTATATTATCTCCTTTTCCTTAATTTCTTGAGGAGTGGACACTCACTCGAAAAGTGTTAAAACCTTTGAGCATTCTGCAGCAGAGTGTATCATTGGTCCTTTCATCATGAACACAACTGAGCTTATGAACGCCCTTCAATCCAATATCGATGCACAGATGGTAAAGTTTCGCGAATTGCTCGAGTCCCACACCGAGTCAGTTCACTCCACACTCCACCAACACTTGGTGGAAGTCTATTCAAAGGTCGCAAAACTGCACGTCAAAGGCAAAAAACAACCACAGAATGCATTTGTCGGGCAGACATCACGTGCACTGAAATTAAACGTACCACGTTTTAATGGTTCCAATCTCTTGGATTGGATTTTCCAGATTGAAGCTTTCTTCAACTTCCATGAAACTCCGGAAGAATCCCGACTTCAGATTGTAGCCTTTCATCTTGATGGACGTGCCGCTAGGTGGTTCCAATGGACAACATGTAACAATTTGTTATCATCGTGGCCAGTTTTTCTCACCGCTATTCGCCACCACTTCGGTCCAACTCAGTACGAGGACATTGAAGGTGAACTCTCCAAATTAACTCAAACTAACTCTATAGCTGATTTTCAAGCCCAGTTTGAAGATTTGATGAACAAGGTCAACGGTATCTCCGAATCACTACTGATTAGTTTTTTCATTACAGGACTGAAAAATCATTTGAGACGGGAATTGCAATTTCACCGACCTACTACTTTGATGGAAACATTCGCCATGGCCAGAGCATATGAGACCCGTTTTGATGACACACCAGCCATAGGCAAACTGTGGTCTCACGGCCCACAACACTCCACAGGCCCACATACCCAACCTAACCACAATCAAACAAACCGATCCAGTTCAAATCCAAATAACCCATCAAACAATACTGCAGCATCGTTACCACCACTCTTACCCACACCACACTCAAACCCTTCCGTGCGTAACATGCCCTCTGCCGAACTCTGAGACCGCCGTTCAAAAGGTCTTTGTTTTAAATGTGATGAGAAATGGAACCCATCATGCCAAAACCGCGTGCTTATCCTCATGGGAGTGGATGAAGATGAACCTCCACCGGAATCCGAAGATAACTCAATAGATGATGTCTCTGGGGACATATCCAACCTTCATTCCTTGTCCAGCCAGCTCCAAAGTCGATCCCTGCGTGTTTTTGGCCTTTATAACCAAACAAATTTCACCATCCTCATTGACAGCGAGAGCACTCACAACTTTATAAAACCTGCCTTAATGGAACGATTGGGGTTATCTATCAAACCATGCCCTCGTTTCAAGGTCGTAACTGGTTGTGGAACCTTCTTGGTTTGTCAATTTTGCTACCATAACATTCCTCTTATCTTACAAGACATTAAATTTGAGGTGGATTTGTTTATCCTAAACATCGAAGGTCCAGATGTTGTGTTGGGCTTTCCTTGGTTGCAATCTTTGGGCAAAGTTGCTCATGATTATTCAAGTCTCACTATGGAGTTCATGTGGCAAGGGACCCAAGTTACTTTAGTAGGTGATACCTCTCTAGCCTCACAATTAGTGTCACTGCACCAGCTTCAAGCATTGGTTCACACCAATAATGTGGCCAGTGTTTTTGCCATCACGACTTCCCTTCAAGACTTCGATTCTCTCCCAGAACCATCCATCAATTTTCCACCTAACCTACCCATCCCAGTTACTGATCTATTACAATGTTTTCAGTCCATTTTTTCTACACCCACAGAATTGCCTCCTCACAGAACTGTTGACCATCACATCCATCTTGTTGAAGGATCCAAGCCAGTCAATGTGAGATCCTATCGATATCCTCAATTTCAAAAATCTGAAATGGAGAAGTTGATTCGAGAAATGCTTGATCAAGGCATCATCATCCCTAGCCAGAGTCCTTTTTCTTCACCCGTCCTATTGGTAAAGAAGAAAGATGGTACATGGCGATTTTGTGTGGATTATGGAGCGTTAAATTCTATTACAGTTAAGGATAAATTTTCAATTCCAACTATTGATGAACTTTTGGATGAGTTGGGTGGCGCAAGAATTTTTACAAAACTGGACTTGCGTGCAGGGTACCATCAAATTCGGGTTCATCCGCGTGACGCTTATAAAACGGCGTTCCACACATATGAAGGCCATTTTGAATTTCTTGTAATGCTGTTTGAACTTACTAATGCACCGTCAACATTTCAAGCCGCTATGAACCAATTGTTTTCTCAATACTTGCGAAGGTTTGTGATTGTTTTTTTTTATGACATTGATATATAGTGCCTCTATTGAAGATCACTTGCAACATTTAGAATTGGTTTTCACTTCCTTGAAAACTCATTGTTTTTTTTGTGAAACTGTCCAAATGTCTCTTCTGTCAAGAGTCCATTGACTACTTAGGCCATATAGTTTCTCCTCATGGTGTACATGCAGATCCGACCAAGCTCGAAGCCATGGAAAAACAGCCCATACTAGTAACGGTCAAACAACTTAGGGGATTCTTAGGCCTTACCGGATACTATAGAAAATTCATTGCCCATTACGCAAGTATAACTTCTCCTTTAACTGATCTTCTGAAGCATGATGACTTCTATTGGAATGAAAATGCTCAAAGGGTCTTCCTTGCCCTCAAGCAAGCTATGCTTTTTGCGCCGGTCCTTAGTTTACCCGACTTTTCTAAAGAATTTGTGATAGAGACTGACGTATCCAACGTCGGTATTGGAGCTGTTTTAATGCAAGAGGGCCACCCCCTTGCCTTCTTTAGTAAGAAATTGGGCCCAAAGTTACAAGTTGCATCTGTATACATCAAGAAACTACATGCCATTACAGAATCTGTTCTTAAATGGAGACAATACTTGTTAGGCCATTTTTTTGTCCTCCGAACTGATCATAAGAGCATCAAGGAATTACTTCAGCAAGTGATACAAACTCCAACTTCCTCCTGTAGTCGCATTCACCCGGTTTTCCATGTGTCGGCTCTTAAACCTTTTCGTGGTACTGATAATGTGTCCGCATGTGACTTACCCTTGGAAAGCTTTGATAACCAACCTATTGATCAACCAAGGGCAATTTTAGATCGGCGTACTCAGTTAGTTCACAGACAACCACATGAACAAATCTTGGTGCATTGGGAAGGTTGTCGAGTTGATGAAGTTTCATGGGAAGACTTGGAAAATTTTCGTACTTGTTATCCTAATTTTCACCTTGAGGACAAGGTGAGTTCTGCAGAAGGGGAGAATCATACAAACCAACTAGTTGATCCAGACCCAATAAGGATTGATGACCCAATATTAGGGAAACGAGCAAGAAAGAAGCCAACATGGATGACTGACGATGTCTGCGGAAGAAGAAATTAAAAGATCTTGATATGCTCAAATTAATTCCTGAAATTTTTTCTGCAAATTATTAGTTTAATTCCTGTTTTATTTTCCTAATTTTTGTTTGATTGTTAGCATCCAATTCCTTTTAATAACTATGATGTAAACAAATCAGGATGGAATAAAAAATTTCAAGATCATTTTTCTTCCAAATTCTGTTATCTCCTTTTATTTAATTTTGTTAGGAGTGGACACTCACTCAAAAAGTGGTAAAAAAAGGTGCTGCACAGTGTATCATTTTGTATCATAAAGTGACTCGATTGATCGATCACCCATGCAAATTCCAAAAACAGACCCCTTCCTCAGAAATTTTTCTTTACTATCGCAACTATATAAAGAGTAGACATTTCCAAAAAATGCACCTTTCACAAAGTCCAAAGGCTTCAAGGAAGCTTCCATAAAATATTGCAGAAGTTCTGAAGCAAGAAGCCCGCACGGGAGAAGAAGACTCTGATTTGGTTCGACCAGTTGGGAATTTGGAATTATCGAGGGAAGTATACAACGATTTATCAACGACGCCGCCAACAGAGTCGACGACGGTATGATCGGCAACGGTGACGGAGAGTTTCATCGCATGGACCTAACAATCCTCTACAATTTTCATGCTACTAATGGAGAAAAGATGTTTTATTCAATTACCAATTACCATGTCAACATATCTGTTAACCACATAAACATTTTTTAATCAAGTTAGAAATTAAAGGCTCAAAATACATGTTTTTATTTAAGAACTAATTTAGCATATTTTATATTTTACGAATAAGAAAAAATACTTTATCTTAAATTAAATAAACTATAAATTAAAAAATGTTATATATATATATATATATATATATATATATATATATATATATATATATATTAATGTGAATGATTTTAATTGAAGAAAATATTAATGAAAAATAATAAATAATTTTAGATATATTATGAAAATTGTTAGGTTAATCTTGAGTAATATTTAATAAATTATTTTTATATACATTAACGTAATGATCTAATATCATTTTAGATAGAGACTCATTCTTATCAAGATGATATGAGCTTTCTAGAGCATATAGACATCACCACAGTTGAGTTTATATTTTCAATAAGAAAGCATTTTACTATAAAATGATTTCAAGATCGGAAACTTTCTGATAATCAGGATACTCATAAGAAACAAGTGTAGAACATACTTGCATATGAATAGGGACAAATAATAAGAACTACATACTTTAGACTTTCAAAGAAGAAAAAACATACAAGTCTTATCATTTATAGGCACACCATACAAGCGGAATCAAAAACTTCGCTAAACTAAATTAAAATTCGGACTCGAAAATATCATACAAAGTGAAATCTGAAGATAAAGTCATGACTCACACTGATTATGGCCTTACATACAAGATAGAATAAGATAAGATATAATATTATAATGTTGATTCGTTCTTATTTTCATTAACACGTTTGCAGTATTCACAATGGATACGTGTAAAGATAAAATAATTTTGTTTTAATAAATTATTATGATGACAGTCATTGACTAAAAACTTTACTTTGAATCAGATCTAGTGGAATCAGAACAATTCATATGTTGGGTCTCGCTCCTTGTCATACTTCCATGTAGTGGGTCCTAATAATGATACATCTTTTTATGCAGCATCATTTCTTCCATTAATTCCTTATTGTCATTATCTGCCAAATCTTCAATCTTTTGGAATTCTTCTGTAGACAAATAGATCTCGGTCGTTGATTTGAAAAATCTTATCTCTTGGGTGTCATCGTCTTTTTGAATGATTATATTCAGAGGATAAGAATTGAGAGGCTTTTGAGATGAGCTGCCAATATTGGAGTCTACTGGCTTGTAATGATAGTTGTTGACTTCACAGAGATGTCTAGTTAATTGGATTTTGTAGTTATCATCAAGAGGGTAAATATCAAAGCTTTCCCAGATATAGACTTCATTTCTTGACCATTGTTGCTCTGTAGTATTTAGAAAGTATGTATGATAGATGATAAAGATTGAAATAAGATCTTTAAGGGAGTCTTCCATCATTTCTCTCTGTTTCTGGAAGTCTATAATCCTTTTTAGTTCTTGTCTCACCGACAATGGTGATAACCATTCCAGTAAAATCTAGAAATAAAACTTTTATTTATAAAGATATGTCAAAATCTTATAAGCCTGTTGTGTTTTGAATGCAATGGGGATGAAATATTGAATAATGTCACATCATATAGCCCAAAGTGTTGATTCACAAAGATCTCATTTAGGTTCACAAAATATTTCAAAAATTCCTTCAAAAGAGATACCAGGATAAAAAAATGGTTGTTGGAGAGGTTTTGTATTTCAGGGTTTCATGGAGAAAATAAAAGTAACGAGATTTCACATACTAGAGGTTGGGTTTAGTTTCTTACAGTTTTGACTCTGTTGGATAAGGGTTTGACCATAAAGATGAGAAAAATTGTGGGTGTCAGAAATCAATTGGACAATTTTCTTAGGCCTGGACAGAAAATCTGGAATTGTATTATGGTTCCCTTTGATATGTTTAACAGAAAAATCATACCTTGAAAATCAGTCCATCAGTCGGAGGATCTAAGGATTAGGAGATATCCTGTTTTTGAATTTTAGGACTTTTAGAAAAGAAGAGTTATCCATTTGAACTTCAAAATGATGATTCTTGTAGTGAATATCCTCATGATTGAGCTTGAAGGGTAGTTAGACGAAGAAATTATGATTCTTCTACAAAGGATTTTGATGAGAAAAATCTTCATTATTATTAGAACATATGGTGACTAATTGACTTTTATTTATCCTAAGTTTGAAGGAGCTTCAGGGAGGGAAAAGAGCCTAAATATTTCCGTGAAAGATTTAAATTCCCTTTTAAATTTAATCCATGTAGATAGATATGAAGCTTTTGAGTCATGGAGTAAATATCCATTCCTATCAATATACCTTTGTTTGGCAGCTTACTTCTAATCACTCTTGACCAGACTATGTATTCTGGAAAGAATTTAATCCCAATTAAGGATTTTGTGATGAGATCAGTTTTGAAAATTTTTTCATCAGCTTCAACAAAATAAGAGACTTCTTTCTTCCAAAATTCCTTTAGAAATATATCTGGATCCATCATGGATTTCTGAGCTCTTATGTCAAGATAAGCTAGAGTTTTAATGGTTTTCTTATATTTAGAAGAAAGAAGCTAGACTTCTAGGCATGGTTGAGGAGGAGAGACATTAATGAGATTAAGGATTTTGTGATGAGATCAGTTTTGAAAATTTTTTCATCAGCTTCAACAAAATAAGAGACTTCTTTCTTCCAAAATTCCTTTAGAAGTATATCTGGATCCATCATGGATTTCTGAGCTCTTATGTCAAGATAAGCTAGAGTTTTAATGGTTTTCTTATATTTAGAAGAAAGAAGCTAGACTTCTAGGCATGGTTGAGGAGGAGAGACATTAATGAGATTGATCTCTTAGAAAGAGAATATTGGAACAATATCTGTTTCTGATTCTGTGTCTGAATAATCAAATTCTCTTTCATCAGAGGATATAGTAAGGGCAAAGACTATTTATTCATCTTCAGAGCTTTGTTCTGAGTATATGGACTCCATATCTTCATTGGCTCTGAGATTGAGGGTGGAGATGAGTTTCATGAATCTTTCAGCTTTCTGAGGACAATTTCTTGAAAAAACGACTTTTCTTCTTGCAAATAAAACATCTTTGATCTTGAGATTTTCCTCTAATTTTCTTTTTCTTGAAGAATTTGAAAGTCTTATTTTTTCTTGTGAGTAGATTGTTTCTCTTGCCTTCTCTTTTTGCAATTTCCTAGACAAGATTTCTTGCACTGGATTTCAAGATAGGGCTTATAGCATGCCTTATTGAATTTACTCTTATGGGTCATAATGTCAGAAAAGAATTCATGTTGTCTGCATAGTTTATCAATGGCCTCTAGGATCATTTGCTGAATTTCACCCATAGTCAAGGTGGTGAAGACCTTCTGGATAGTCATTGTCATCATGTTTAGTTATGGTTGGATTTCAGCAGGAAGAGATGTTACATAAGTATTTTCAGGTTGGGATTGTTAAGTCCATTGAAATGATAAAATCTCTTGCACATTCTTTGATAGTGTTTCTCCAGATCCTTGATCTTCACTGAGCAACATCTCATTTTGAAAAATTCTTGCCTGATTTTTTTTATCAATTATCGTGTCATTTCCTATGAATTCTTCATGTGATACTCCAAGTACTGCCGAAGTTTGTCCCAATTCATGGAACTAGTTTTGTCTAACAACTCTCAAGTTATGGTACCATTCTTTCAAAATTCCAGTCATTCTGCAATAACTTTGTAAGAATCAAATTCTTTAACTAATTTGGTGTCTAACCATGCTCCGAATTTAATTAGCCTAACTCTTCACTAGTTTGGAGAGATATCATCAATAGTAAACCAAGGTCCTCCATTAGGCTTTAAAGAGGTATTGGTCCTTATGGGACCTGAGTTAAGTTCTTCATTAGGAGAATCGTAAATGAGTTCATGTCTAACTTGACTTCTGATCTGGAAGTGCTGGTCATCAGAATTTGGGTTAAATCTATATAACTGGAAACTTCTGTCTCTGACTCTTCAGAGAAATACTCTTCAACCATTGCAAGAATATCCTTAAGAGTTGGATGAGAACAAGATTCTATAGTCATTTGATAGTATGAATCTTGAGAATCTTGAAAAACAGGATCAAATGGGTCTTGATGAGTTTGTTTCTTTAATGAGGGCTGAACTTCATGAGAAGATTCTTGAAAAGGTGGATTGACTTTCGTTCTTTACCTTTGTCTGGCTTTGGTGCCCAAGGTTTAGACCATGGTCTATAAGTAGTAACTGTAGGTAAAAATCAGGAAGGCTATATTAATGGTCGGAAGAATGGAGATGGATTCTAAAAAGAGAAGTAGGTCAAGTTAAAGTAAACAGAGATGGGTAATGATCTTTTTCTTTCCTTTGTTTAACTTTGACCTCAATATAATTATCCATTTCGTGGATTTGAACATTTAAGTCATCTAATCTCCTTTTCTTTCGCATGAGAGAATTCTCCAAACTTAAGAAAATAATAATATATAAAAATCAAACAAATTTTTTTAATGGTATCATACATAAAATTTTTTGTAAAAAACATATTTTATAAAAAAAACTCATAAGAGAAAGAATTTAAAAATTTGTTGAACCTACATCCCAGGCATTGTTCCATTCAATTACCTCATAACCATTATTTTCAAAGGTAAACCTAAGGCAATTCCCTTTGGAAGCTTGATGGACAAATTGAAAACCAAATTCAATTGGTCAACTATGTGATCTATGGTAGTCTTAGTTATAGCTTTAGGTTTTATGATTGGGCAGTTGCTTCACTTAAAGAGATTGATGGTTGGATTAAAAATTTGATCTGGACCGGTGGTGTTAACTAGAGGAATTTGAAGACCAAAAGAGGAGGGCACCAAGCTTCATTGAAACTGGCATGGGATTGTATCCAGGGCACCACTGTTTGGGCTAACCTTTCCATTTGTTTACTCCTTAGTTAGATCTAATGTTACTTTTATTGGTATCTCGTGGGGTAAGTAAAAGGTGGTTGCTTATTGCACCTTCATAATTTTTTCATGTAGCCTTATAATTATATTAAACCTCATTTTAGTCTTACATTTATCTTCCTCTTCATTTTTAAAATTTATTACAATTTTTTTTTCCAAAAACACATTTCAAAATATCTAATCTAGAATGAGTTTCAGGATAATTTTTTCTAAAATCAAATTCCGAAACGATAATCTGAAATATATTTTCATAAAAGTTTTTTTGAAAACGCATTAACTCATTCTAAAATGAAAAGTCAATTTTAAAATATATTCCGATATGTGTTTTCAGAAAGGTCAATCTATATATACATTCCGAATTTGGTGTTCCAGAATGCATTTTCGAATTAACTTTTTTGGAAACACATTCTTGAACACCCAATCCAAAATGCATTTACAAATTGACCTTTTTGGAATACATTCCAAAACACTCAATCCAAATATATGTTTTGATTGACTTTTTTAGAATTTAACCTCATTTTCGTTATACTGTTTTAAATTGAGTATTTTGACTCTGTTTATGCAACTTGAATATAAAAATATGTAATTCATACATAATATTAACAATTACCTATCTTTAATTATTAGAAAATATCTTTAATTGAGGTGATAATACAAAAATATCAAATAGTAAAAAGATGAAAGTGTAAAAATAAAAGAAGAGGAAGTTAGGATAAAAACAATTATAAAAAAGATATTTTAGATATTTAACCTTGGTTAATCCTTGAACATTTCAACATTGATATTTATCCTCCTAAGTAGGTTAGCTTAATTTCTGTAATTTGGAAAATACCTAATGTTGGTGTGGTTAAGTGTAATATTGATGGGCTTCTCCAATTGTGAATGTATTTGTGGTTTTCCTTCTTTTATTGGCACTGCCATGACCCTTTATGCAAAGATTGAAGCAACAATCTTAGTATTGAAAAGGCTTATCAAGAATGCTGAGATTATCCCCTGAAAACTTAAAGGAAATTAGTATAGAAATCTTGATTTATGTCAGCGGATGGAGGTTAAAAAAAAATTATATACACATCATGATAAATTTTTATTTGCAAGTTTTAGGTAAAACTATTTTACATTATAGTTGTTTTCATTCAAAGCAATTTTCGAGACAATTAATTGAATTTTAGTGATTCCAACCGAATCATGAATTTGCCCAAAAAAATCCGATGATTCATGTCGAAAAACGTCTTTTGCACTGAAGTAAATTTGGCTTACACTTTGAATATAGTATTTATCATTACTTTTTCTCTTATAGTACTAAATAATAAACTAACAAACATAATTTAGTCTCGTGCAAAATTTCACACTTTTTGTTTTGGGGACAAAACTAGTTAAAAAGTTTCCAAAGCTGAAAAACAAAAATTGCAAATTTATTTTAAAGCTGAGAAATTAGTTCGGCAGTGAAAATTGATAACAAAATATTAATAAGCTACTAAAATATAACTGTTTAATAAAATTATACATTAAAATTATTTTATTTTTATTAAACGACATAAATAGGCATGTCAATATTCAGTTCTATAAAATTTTAACCTTACTTTATTACAAAATATATTTTAGAAAATTAATAATTTTTTTTAATTACTGTTAAATTTGTATAAATTTTCAAATGTCAAACATGTTAAATATATTACATTTTTCAGTGTATTTCACTACTCATTTTTAAAACAACTTAAAATACTTGCTATCAAATTTAAAATATAATAAACCTCATAATACTTTTGACTAAATATCATAATTTTATTGATTATATAATAAAATAACTAGAAAATTTTATAATAAAAAACTATCTATTGATGAACGTTAATTAATATAACTATTAGAACAATAGCATAATACAAAAATAACTATCATCTACTAATGTATGTATCTTTTGATCTAATGTTAAATAATAAAATAAAATTATATGACAAAATAATAATAATATAATATAAATTATTAGAAAACTAATTATTATATATCATTACAATAAAAAACAAAAATAAGAAATAATTTTTGTACTATAAAAAAATAATAAATTAATTGCTTATAGAAACAGGGAAAAAATATATCATATATATTAAAGTGAAATTTTAGTAAATAATTTAAAGAAAAAATAGAAACAAGTATTAAAAAGTAGATACTAGTATTTTAAATATAACGCTTCAAAAAGATGTTACAAACTAGTAAAATTACCAAACGTTAACTTTATTACAGAAAATTATTAACTATACAAATTAAATTAAATCTCATTATGGTCGGTTGCAAAAAAAAAATGTAATAAAAAAGAGAGAGTAGGATGTGGTAGCACCAAACCAACAACACACAGCCTTGACAGCAAAATTGATTACATAGAATCACAGTGCACTAGCTTCAACATAATATGTTATCAGTCTATTAATACTACGTAGAGATGAATTCCTATATGTAAAAATCACAACAGACCTGAGAGTCGATGAATAAAAAACACGGGAAGAAGGGAATGCTTAAAAGCTAGGTCACTGTGCTTCATGACCTACCTTGTCATCAACATCGCGTTGAAGAAGTCCTGAAAAATCAAATTATGTTTGAATCAAAATGATGCAAGCAGATTGAACAACTATCAAGATCTCAATTTGGGAAGAATGGTTGGCAGAAGCTCCTGAGATCAATCGGAGAAACAGTGTGCACTATTTATATTAATAACGTGAATAAGGCAGAATTACATGTTAATCAGAGTAGAGTAGCAGTGTATATATATATCGCTTCTTTGTAATTCAAACAAAGGCAGTGCATCACGTGCCTCGTTTTCAGTAAAGAGCATATATTTTCGGTATAGTTTCATTGCTGCAACTGATATGAAAGTATATAATGATTGCATTACAAAGGTATGAAAAGCTCACAGAGCACAGTTCCAAACACTTTTAAAAGATTTCTGTACTCTTCTCAGCTTAAGTTCTTTTTCAAAATAAAATATTTTAGCCGAATCTGTTCAAGTGATGGCCCATTAGTCGATAGTACAAATTCAACGTCAAGGACCTATATATTTTGGGGCATTTTCAATAATTGATGTCTATAAAAAATAATCTTCATCAACTTTGATGAATTGTCAACATTAAATGTTTACCATCTCTAGTTTTAGAATCATTGTACTTCTGCATAAATAAAATTGCCTTCCTGAGGAAAACAATGCCCTTCGGACAAGACAAGGACTTTAACCAACCCTAAATTATGTTTTCACAAACAACGATAACATTAACAAAGCAACATGTACCCATTCAGTTTAACAGCACATATTCTTTTCAAAATGTGAGAAGTAAATTAAAATTATAATCATTCTTCAGTCCTCCCCAGGTTATAGAACAATATAAGGTCCCAGAATGCTCCGCATGTAATGTATTCTTCTACATACGGGAAAAGATTCAAAGAACAAAAATGAGCTTATTCAAACCTCAGCAATGGCCTCCGTAGCTGCTCTAGTTTATCCCCGCCATCAGGCATGATAGTATCTGAAGCTGACCTGTCTAAACCAATAGACAACGTTTCTGCTATGTCTTTAAGACCCTACAAGTGAAAAAAAAAATCATTGAGCACATTAATTTCAAATTAAGGAATACACTAGGATATCATATACTAATGATATAAGTACAATATTTAAAAATATTAAAATATTTAACACAAACTCATTTGCCAATAGGAAAATAACAGTAGGAAACAGAGTCCAAGGTAGAATACCTTCAGATTTGGAGCTCCTTTAAATGTGAGCAAATTAGGTGACTTCCCTGAAACTTTCAGTTGTTCCTGCTGAATATTACTAATTAACATCAGATCATTATCTCAACAGGAATACAAAAGATATAATTAATAACTAAGCCAACAGAAGAACAAGAGCAGAATAAGGTGTTGAGTACTGAAATCTAAAAATCAGCACTAAGTTTAAAGCAAATTCACAGGAAATTTGAGAGTGACAAACAACAAATGTGAGTATGATTACAATTGACAAATATAAGAAACAAAATCCAACCTGCAAAAATTCAGGCATTTTCCGGCTTTTTCCATGTACAAAATCAATGAGATATGCCAGTCCATAATTTGCATAATCCTGCAACCAAACTATTAAATCAGTATTTTCTTCAGGTGTGTGAACAGAAGTAACTATTTCCATAAAAAAAATCTTAAATGCAGACCAAATAATTCTAGCACTTCAAATTTTTACACACGCAACAGATGTTCCATATAAAAAGAAACAGAAATGTTCTACAATTAGATATTCCCTTCAAAATTTAACAAGGTCGTGAAAAAGATTTACCTGCTTAGAACTCAATGTAGTCAACCTTTCATCCTGCAAAGGCATAATTACACAACATAAGAATAAATCAAAAGAGGGTACTCACAAATGTAGGGGGCCAGTCACAAACACATAGTAACTTAGTAACAACAAATAAAACAACTAACCAATTTGGGGGAAACATAACATATGACTATGTGAGAACTTAGATATATTCATTCAAATTAAATTAAATAATCTAGATAAACTCATAAATATCCATCATCATAATTTTATGCTAGGAAGACAACCGTGATAACAATCAACTGGCCATGCAAGACAAGAAACACATTACATACCATTTGTTCCACAGTTTGTTGCAAGAAACCCAAGTCCTCGTGGAGACTAGTTATAGTACTTCGAACTCCAGCAACCTGTGACAGGTATATCACAAATTATAATACAAATAGAATGGAATCAATTTGGAACGTATGAAGATCCTTAATTAGTAATGCAAGAAAAAATGTCAGTAATTTGATTATAGTATAACTAAATCAGGCCTTCCAAGTTAAAAACTCTAAGATTTAGAATTTAAAAAAGAATGATTTTTTTGTGATCTAAAGATAGAGTAACTCGTCTTTGGCAAAATATAAATTTTAATTAAAAAATAAAAACTATGTTGAATGCTTTGCCATGAAAAAAACATAATGCTCCCACGTGTTTAGAGAACTTGATATTCCACTACTAATAAGGATTCAAGAGTTATAAAGTATTTAGTATAATGACTAAGTATTATAAATCACATGATATGCATGAGTTGCTTCTTGACCAAATCAGGATGAGATCAAGAGAGCCCAATGGAGAGTTTTGCTGTGACTACCACATATATTCACTAACATAGATATTCATCATAACTTGAGTTACAAAATCAGTAACTTTAAAAGAATTGTTGATCCAGTTGACTGAAGAGAATTAGTAAATATGCACCAGTATCTATGATAAATAGAAAAAGAATGCATTAATAGCATTTTTTTTTTGTCTGAAATCTATATGATTGGATGTATTTTGATGTAAGTATGTTTTGTGGCAATATACGTACTTCATCCTTTGTTGACCGGGCCAAATCAATCTGCTTGATCATTTTGTCATCCAAATTCTGAATTCTCTGGATCAAATGCTTCTTGGCATCCTGACATCATAACAATTGAGGAGAAATTGTAAGAGTAAAAAATCTAAGTATTATATAATTTACACATCATTTTTCATATTAAGTCTTCCAAGCAGGATGTGATGGTGGGTTAAATTATATTCCAGACAAACTGCAGGTCATTATAGCACGTGTGAGTGAAATATTTTCAACCCCACCCCCTGTATTAGCAACAACAGATGTGTTGTAGTCTACTAAAATGTGTCAGCTCACTATATTGGTGAGGGGTTAAATCTCTTCATTGTCCCAATTTCAGTTAACCTCCTTTTTAATATAAAAAGAACTTCAGACTAATTCTTTGTATCAGAGAGGATCGGATTAATACTTTGTTGGGAAAACGATATTTGATGGGAAAGACCGTTTCTTCTTAAGAATCCAAAGTTACCTACAGAATGTAAGCTACTCTTTTCCTTTTCTCTTTCCAGTGTTAAAAGAGTTGAGCACCAATAGGTCCTCAACTAAATGGTTATTGCTGTGGTTTGGAAATTATTACATCTTGATCACTGCTTACTGAATAAAATCTGGCCAGAACAAATAAGGTGGTTTATTCATGGATTTGGGAATCATATATATTTCTGAAGAGGCAATTGCTTAAGGCACAACGCAACACTGTCACACATGCTTATTACATGCCTTGATGATCACTTTTTACTGTTTTAAGTTGTTCGTAGTCATGAGTCTTGAAGCACTATATTTATACTTCACTCTTAAACAGTATTTTCTACTCCAATCCCACACAAGTCATCCTGTAATACAAATTACAACACAGTAGCAACTCCATAGAAATTCAATGTGAAACACCTTGTTTGTGAATCATATAAATAAAAGATAGATTATATTTCATCCACTTGGATAAAGGAATAATAAATTCTACGAGAATTGGGTCTCATAGCTCTCGAGTGCAATAAAAATGCAGTACTAAACAAACATAGTTACATAAATATATAAAAAGAAAATCACAAGCAATAAATGGACACCTACAGCAATGACATCAGAGGCATGCTGCAACTTTTTTGTTAAATCTGCAACCGCTTTTTCCATATTCTGTTTGGTCACGTACATAAGATCTGAGAATGAAATCCCCTGATTTTGGAAAGGAGAATACAGAAATCAGAAACACAAACAATTAAATCAGAAATATTAAATTGGTCAAATCAATTACAATAACTATGGGTAATACCTTCAAATTGGAGAAAATTAAGAAACAATTAAAAAATTACTCAAAAAAGAAAAAAAAAATCTCATCAATCAGAAACCAATGAAATTATTTAAGAATCCAAGTCGGCAAGGAGTTCCACACCTTCCACCACATGTAACCATAACCCAAAGCACCCAAGGCAGCAGCTGGAACGACAAGAGATGATAAATTACCTGTCAAAAAACAGAACAAACAATTAGAAAATCAATGCATGGAACTACATAATACGATCTACATCTGCGCAACAAACATCAATCTGTTGACAGCCTAGCAGAGAAACATAAAAAGTAAAACACAGCATCTTAATTAACAGCTATATTAGTTGGTGGAATTGAATATATTACTTTGTCCATAACCTCCATTCAGTACTGTGATTGGCCTACTTGATGTTAATTGCCGAACTTCATTCGCCAGACGACGCACCTAGAGCAAAGTCAAACAATCTCGAAAATAAGAAAATTCAAATTCTCCTCCCAGGTCATTTCATAAACAAAAGACACTAAGAAATATTCACCAGTTCATTACCTGAGCAGCTATTGCATCAGCATATTCACTTTCACCTTCAGCCTGATCCCCAGATTTTTCCAATCCCTTCACCAGCAACTACAACCCAAAAAATAGAAAAATTAAAAACCATTAGCATACATACATAGATACGAGCGTGTGTGTGTGTGTGTGTATATATATATATACCAGAGTTATGAAAAAATAATAATCCAGCTTCTTGGTCTAATAATTAGAGGAGTATAAACAATAAAAAAAAGATAACTTAATTGACGAGGACTATAGAGAACACAAGATGACCACCATATGTAGCATGAAACATCATTCCAAATTCGTGGGAACCAAAGGCATTTAGGGTCATGGTCACTATAATCAGACGAAGTTAAAAACGAATCTTCCCAAACCCTACAATCGGTTAAAAACGAATATTCGAGGACTCTATCACCCCCATCTCGGACAAACCACTACTCGTTTCATAACACAGCCTCCTCGACTTCAATAACACATTTACAAAATCCATAACTCAAAAGAAAAACGAAAAGAACAACAATTGCACAAAATTTCCCACGCGGATTTAAAAAAAATTGGTGTTAAGAGATGCAGATTATTCCTACATGTGAAGGGGGGAGCTGAAAATACCTGAAGGTCGCCTATTAAATCGGACAATTTGCCGTTTTTGATGAGGACCGTGCCAGTGTAACCTGAAGGAAGAGAGTGAAATCAAATAAGTGATAAAAGTAGTTACTGATATGCGATTAAGAGAGAAAGAGCGGTACCTGCTCCAGCAATGATGAGGATCTTGGAGATCCCAATTCCGCTTTGCATAGCCATAGCCATGGCGAGAGAGAAAAGCGATAAAGGTTCCTTGTTTAGGTTCGATTTCACTATAAAAATGCTTTCACAACTGACCCAAGAACCGCCTTGCAAACGACTTGATTTTATATATATTAAATATGTCAATTATATATTTTTATTATTGATATAATATATATATATATATATATATATATATATATATATATGTATGTACATAATATATATAAATATATGTCTCTAATGCATTTATTTTATCTTTTAATAAATATTATCTTCTAACTGTTCAGTGAAAGTATTTATCAGCACCTTTTTTGATAATATATTAATAAAATTAAATAATTTTTTTGGTATTTTAAAATTGTTAATATTAAAATTGATATCTCAAATATTTTAAAGTAGATGTAATACTCAATTTTCATAAATACATAAATTTAATCTTAAAAAAAGTATATATTTATTAAATATTAGATATTAAAAACAGTAAAAAGATTAAAATTATCAATTTCAATATAATTCAATTTTTGATAGAAAAAAAGTCATTGAACCTGATGCTGATATAATTTATTTACTTTTCCAAAGTGACAAGAGTAATGATATTGCAATATAACACATTTACCATGTTTAAATAATTAATATTAGTAATATTATTCTGTTGAATTAATTAATATGATTTTAAGTTCTAATAAATTATATCTCAAAACAAACTAATACCATTAATAATATAATAAACGTGAATAACAACTTTGAATTCTTTTATATACAGTTTTTATTAATTTATTCAAATGTTTAAATAAAGCAAATACTTTTTATTGAAATAAAAAATCATGTATGTTATGATAATTTATTTGATATTTTTTGTTAATTTTTTGAAAATTTCTTATAAAAAAATTTATTAGAATAAATTTATATGAGTTACTTAATATATAAAATATAAAAAAATATATTTTAAATTTCTATTGTAATAAATAATTTATATAAGTTATTCTTATTGGATATATACTTAAGGTTTTTAATTTTAAAATTATATACTTATTAAATGAAATATCTTATGATATTTTCAAAATAATATTTAAATATAAATATATAATATTTATAAATAATACGTTTCGAAATTAACAAATTTATATATAAAATGTTAAAAACGAAGTGAGTTTAAAAATATGAATTCAATATCGTATTCATATAAATATAACATAAAATTTTAGTGGTAAAAATAGTTTTGAAAAAAATTAATTAATCGATAATTTATAAAAACAATTTTATAAATAATATATTTTAAATAAATAAATAAAATCTTTGTCGATTTATTTATCTAAATAAACATATTTTTTATTTTTATTTTTATAATTTTTTAAAATATATTATTTATTTATATATAGTTTTTTTCTCTCTTTTTATTTACTCTTTATGTTTTTCATTTTTTCTATCTCTTGTTTTTTTTTAATCTTATCTCACATTTATTATTTTAATTAAAACTAAAAAAATATCAATTAATTATTTAAATTTTTTATTTATTATGATGATAAATTAATTTTATTTATAATAATATAAATAATTAATATAAAATTATTTTATTATAATAAATTAATTAATCATCTAATGAAAAATTATTAAATATTTATGAATTAGATGTATTTTTATTTAATAATTTAATCTAATTGAATTTTAAAAAAATATATATTACAAATTTTATTTTAAATTATTTATATTTGTCTTAATAATTATAATATAACAATACTATTTATAATATCTTAAATTTATCATATAATACTTTTTAAAAATTAATGAATTAAATTATAATATTTTCTAATAATTTATATATATATATTTTTTTAAATAATAAAAACATTATTTTATACAATTTTAATATACTAATTTTAATTAAAAAAAACACTAAAAATAGAAAGAAAAAAAGTAAATAAAAAACAATTTTATTATATCACATAAATTTATTTTTATTATTAAATATTATGTATAATAATAAAAGGTCTAATTTTTAAAATATATTATTATTAATTATAATTTATGAAAATGATTTTTAATGATTAACAATATTAATGAAAAAAAACGCATGAACATGTCGCATTAATATAATAATAATATATAATATATAATAAGTGAACTCATTTAAAAATAAATAAATTTTATTGAATTATTTATTTAAAGTGGACGGTTAATTTTCATATGATTATTTTAATAATTAATTGATAAATTTTAAAATTAATATGCGGTCCTTTTACTCAATTTTTACCTTTTTTATTATATAATTTGTCATATTAAAAAAATTGTATTATTATACTTTTAAATTTATTTAAATATTTTATATTAATCTTTTAAAAATATATTATTTTAATTTTTATAGTTAAATTTAATATTTAATTATAATATTTTATTGTTACAAAAATTATATAATAATTAAATTCATAAAACTTATACTTTAGTTTTTCATATTTAAATTTAATAATAATTTTTTATAAAAATTATAAAAAGATCATCCTTTTTTAAATGTAAGAATTAATTAATCAAATGTTTAAAATCTAGGACTAAAATGAAGTTTAAAAAATACAACAATATATTTATCCTGTTTGGAATTAGCTAAAGTCCATTGAGAAACCCTCGTCTATTTTTTCCAGTGTCTACAAAATAGAATACAAAGGAGACATTCCATTGAGAAACTGTGGATTCAATTCTTTTATCTTGGTAGCCTAAACTTGTAAACTTGTAGAAAGATCCAGTAAGGTATTGTAATGGGCCTTCTCAATCTCATCATCATGTTTCAAGCATTAAGAAACCACATCGTCCAAGTCCACCACAACTCGATTAAGACCCTTCCTCTTTTCCTGAAGGCGCATTCTTAATAATCTTCTCAACAGGAAAATCCTTTCCTCAGGGAACACCTGCACGACCTTCACAACCTCCGACTTGTTGCGAACGAATGAGGTCTTGTCGTGGTACCTGCACGGAGGAGACATTGACGCTTGTTCAAAAGACTTGAGCTAATTTAATTAAATTGAGTTGAACTGGATAGTTTATAAATAATCCCAATTGAAATGGAATTGATAATTTAAATTTAAAAAATTTGTATTTTTTTATTGATATATATATATATATATATATATATATATATATATATATATATATATATATATATATATATATAAAGGATAGAAAGACAAGGTGACTGGGGAGAAGAACAAAATGTCGCAGGTTGTTCACTCCATCACCTTAAAGCATCTATCACTACCAATCCACTCCTTTGTACCTCCGAAGTTTATTGTTCATTTGAACCGCAACTTTTCTTTCATTCTCCCATCATCATTCCGTGTCAAATGCTACCGCTCCAACCTAGATGAACCCAAACCATTCCCACCACTGCCACAACACCCTCCAGGTTTGTTCTTCAACTTAACTCCAAAATTCATCATTTTATTTCAAAACTCGGAGTGTTGAATCATAGATGTTTGCGTTTTCAGTTGCAGAATTACCGCAAAGGGTGTATGCGGATTACTCCGTTTACACAAGGATGGGTGTGCTCACCTTAACTCCTAAACCTCCGCAATTTGATGCAAAAGCTGTATGCTGTGATTTCTGAGTTGCTGGTGTTTGTTTGTGTTAATGTGGTGGAATTTTTACTTATGGCAGAAGGTTTTGGTGTTTGTTTTTGCAGTCTGGGGCGTTCAGTGTGTCTAGGGAGGGTTATATGTTGCTGCAGTTTGCTCCTTCGATAAGTACCGAAGAACCCATATATGATTGGAACCAAAAGCAGGTACCTTTTGATTCTTCTATTGAGTCTAATACTTAGATAACTGTCACGGGTTCCCAGCTTTGAAAAAGCAATATATTAGAATCAAGTTACTGAAATATTTGTTTAGTCTATTTTATATAGTGTGCAATAAGATTTCTTAACTATGGTAAGAAAATATTACCTGATTTTTTTAGTGAGTAATTAAAAAGACGATGCTGGATATTTTGGAGATACTAAATCTTTCTATTATTATATTAGTCTTGGTAAAATAAGTTAGTGTCCGACAGGTAATCAGACTTTTCCGGTAAACACAGTTTCTTAGTTTCTCTGAAATATTAAGACTTGTTATTTACTCTTGAGCGTGTGCTTCACAAAGTCCACTGATGCATTGTGTGGATAAATACAACCTGTTAGACTGGACAATTTATCATATGGTGCCAGACCACCATTTGTGCATGATCACGATCAACATTCAGGTGACATAAATTCTAGATTTTCAATTTATGAGAAAGAGTTAACAACACTCAATTATGTGGAGATTGGTCGAGATCATGGTGATCTTGGACAAATAATAATTTCTCATCTGATCGAGTTTAAAATATAACTTGGTAATTTTTAGATTGAGACAGTGGGGAGTGTTACACTGAGGAACTTAGGATTTCTCGGAAAATACAAACCTATTTGTTATACTTGGGGGGTTTTGCCTTGGTGGTTCTGTTAGGAAACAGAGCCTTATTGGATATAAGCCTTTCAGGGTTTATTAACGAAGTTCCAAAACTATTAAGCAAAGATCGTTTCTGTTATGGAAGGATAGCGAGGTAATGCAAAGGTTGTTAGATTTTAGTAGTGTGTGTGTTTTCTTCTATAAGGGAATGCTCTCCAAATTGTAGAATCATCCTCAGGATCCGTAATAAAATTTAGGACTCCAGAGTTTCTCTCCATCAACACTCTTTTGTGCAAATCACATCAAGTGCTCATTTGGCCTCATTTCAATTGACTACATTGACCATTTCATATCAAAAGAGGGTGTGCAGGTAGATGCTTCCATGATACAAGCAATTTTAGAGTGCCTACTCCAACTTTCGCCTTGGATATTCACAAATTCTTGGGGTTTATGGGTTATTATAAGAGATTCATTCAAAATTATGACAAAATGGCCCAATCCTAACAACTTTGACTAAAAAGGAGGGTTTCGTTTGGAGAGAAGAACAATAAAATGCCTTTTTTGTGCTCAAGCAATATATAGCTTTTTCTTCTATGTTGGGACCACCAAATTTCTCTGAAGAATTTGTGATTGAATGTGATGCTTTAGGATGTGTTATTGGTGTTGTAGATGCAAAATCGCCAATCAATTGCCTACTTTAGCAAGGCTTTAGCTCCATAAACGTACGCTAAATCAATTTACAAAAATGATATAATGGCCTTGGCATTATAAGTATAGCACTGGGCGACACTATCCATTGGTGAATAGGAAAAGGAAAAGAGAAATTAACAATTTCTTCTATATTTATGACATCAAACAGTTTATATATACAACAAAAGAAAAGCATAACAAACTATGTATACATAATGGAATAGCTAATTCTGTTTAGCTAATACCCCCACTCATAACTCTCAACTTGGATAAAGTTTCCTGTAGGCAAAAGGATTCAGGTCTTTGGTTAGAACATCTGTTAGTTGATTGCAGCTTGCAATATGTAGTAAATGAAAAGTTTTGCATGAAGTTTCTCTCTAATAATATGGCAATCCAATTCTATGTGTTGGTGCCTTCATGAAAAGATGAATTTGCTACAATATGACGCATACACTAGCTGACACAACACAATAAGGCTGGAGATTGAAATGGAATTTTCAAATATTGCAGGAAGAATGTTAACCATTGTATTTCACGTACAGTAGTTTGTTTATTTTATTTCCAAAAAATAAGAGAGTCACTGAAGAAGGTCAATTTCCAGTAATAGACTTGTACAAATCTAGACAAGTGGTCTAATCTGAATCATTAAAAGCTTTGAGTTGAGCTGCTGCAAAGGAATAAACCTTGTGCAGGTGAACTTTTTATGTCTCAAGCTCTCTCTCCTGAGAAGTTGCTACAACCTATTTCAATTTCTAAAATGGTACACAATGATATGTCATTGGATTTCATCATGTTATCATGGGTTTGATGCTGTTCTTGTGGTTGTGGATTGTTTATCCAAATATGTCCATTTTCTTTCTTCGAAACATCTGTATACTGCTCCAACAGTGTTGGAAGATTTTATGAGGTGTCAAACAAAAAATGAATGTTTTGAGAGAAATGGTGCAGCTTATTAACTCTTTGGTTTGAGAATTTATATATAATTTAAGTGACATACTAAAAGTTTTTTCTGTTCTTTTATTAGCTGATTTATGTATAGGATTTCATTCAACTTATGGGTGAGAATTAATTATTGGCTTCATTTATAAAGATTTTGGATTTGCTCAAAATGATTAAATTATATCCGTTATTATTTCCATTTTTCTAGTTATTTCAGGTACAATTTTAAAATATTTAATTTTCCGTTATTTAAATTGCGGATCTCCATTATTTGTAGTGATTTATCATTTAAAGAATGATTAAGAGAAAAACCAATTTACTTATCTTATTTTAATTTAAAGTTTGACTTAATTCTAAATGTGGCCAACTTGAAGTTGAAGGAGTTCAGGACAAGGCCATTTTGAAATTAAGGATGTTTATTTTTGTTTCTGAATGAGCCTTGAATTAGACATATCAAGAACATAATTTTTTCCTCATGTCATCCTATCACTAACAAGTAGCAACTCATCCTAATATCATCGTCCATTGCATTGATGCGTCTGTATGTTTGCCATTGCCAGTTCAACTTTAAGAAAAAGATAAAGATATGATTTCATTGTCCTTTAAGACAGTTTAGTTGGTAGAGCTATCAGCTATGAGATACGCAAGGAATGTGCACATATTCAATGTCAAACCTCGCAATGAGCTATCCCTTTATGGGACCACTTGAGAGCTTGCCCCAAGGCCTGAGGGTGCTCCGATGAACCAAAAAGGAAAACATACGTGATTTCATTGGAATTTATGATTCTGTTGAACATAGAACGTAAGGTAATTGTTCACTTTACTTGACTGCAGGTATTCTCACTTTCGGTGACTGAAATGGGAACTCTAATTAGCCTTGGTGCAATGGATTCCTGGGAATTTTTTCGTAAGACTGCTAATGCAAAAAGGTAGTTTTGGTGTGAATTCATTCATCTGAATTAACTATTTACTAAATCAGTGTCCTCTGCACATGTTGAGTTTGGTTCTTTCTTCTGTTATCCCATAAATAATGGCTGCTGTGATTTCATCTTTTAAAGCATTTTGAATATTGTATTGTTATTCATCAGTGGAATTGAAGTCAGAAAAGTTTTGAAGGTGGAGCCACTTCTGGATATTACTGGTCACTCATTTAGCTTAAGTAATTCTCTTCATTCATAAACTTCTGTCGTTGTTATTGTATCAATTTGATTTTACTTTCCTTCCATCTTGAAGTTGTTAGGATACGCTGCAAACTTGGATTGATTAAATCAGTGTTTTGTGTAAACTGCAAATTGATATCTTAGTGATGCGATACTTTAACTGTAATTAATCTCAATGTACTCACTTTAAGGAATAATTTAGCTTACCCATTGTTATGCCAATACGTGCAATATAAAGGAAAATATTAAATGCTGTAAATATTTACTTCAGTTCTGACTTTGTTATGTCAATTTCCAAAGGTGTTTATAAAAAACCTGTGGACAAGGAGGAAATTGAGGAAAGACTCTATCTCCCTGTTACAAGGGCTGACCTAGCAGTTTTAAGGTCAATTTTCAATGTATGGTCTCTCATTCTCTCTCTCTCTCTTCCCTAGTGGTAGAATATTCATTGCGATGATCCTATTATAATTTGAAATGAAAAGTTCCTGGTTATGTTTTTGAATAAACTGATGTAGCATACAACACTTTTTTTTCTTGAGTGAATCCAATTTTCCTTTATGCAAGCTGAACCATATTTTGCTCATTTTCATTGTACTTTTTCTGTTTTTATATGCAGTATATCATGCCGTACCTTCTAGGTTGGAATGCCTTTGCAAGCACCATAAAGCCAGAGGTATACAATCAAGTGAACAGAACCAATAGATTGTGATCACTTCAGCAATTATTTTCAAGGCTGTAGGCCGGTACACAGTCCTGTGCTACCTTCTCAGCTTTGAAATGTGTTGAATCTTTTCATTCCGGTAGTATAGAATTGTTTGATAAGTTTTTAGTATCATTCTTAGAACACTCATTTTTAGTATTATTCTTAATAAATGTGTTGAATATTATTATTATTATTATTTTATATTTTTCAAGAGCTAACAGTGGGCTTCAAATTTGACCTATATCAGCCCCTTGATTATTGAGGTTGGTGATAATTAAATTTAGATCTAAGTTGATTAAAAAAATTACATTTAAAATCTAGTTTTTCTTCCCACGAATTATCATAATATGTAAGGGTTGTAATATAACCATATATTACAAAGTATAATTAGATTAATAAAGTGGAAGGCGACTGCTACAATATAATTCTTAATTAATTTTAAAGATTGTCATTAAGTAAATATATACATTGAAGGTCCATTAAATTTATTCGATCAGCTTCACTAATTTTACGTAATTAAAGAAAAAAAAAACTAGAACATGGTTAAGAATTGGGTAGCAATCTTGCATATAAAAAACGAAAAATTAATCAAAATCTCTGAGTGTCTAAATATAGCATGTGTAGCATATATGAAAAGGCTATTGACATTCCATGAAGGTAACGGTATGTGTCACACAGAGATATTAAATATATATTTTAGCCCAAATAAAAAAAATTAAGGTCAACCTAATTTAAGGTCCTGTACCAATGATCTTATATCATCAACTTAAATACAAACTACTTGACCCGGATCTGTTGAAGATTGACCCACTTGGGTTTTCTTTTTAACATCAAAAATTAAGTTATTGTGTGGCATCTTATCTTTGATTAATTTATGATAAGTTGAATTCTCATATATATTATGCTATAAGTATATTGTTAAATTAATGCTAAACAATACTATTGAAGTAAAAACTTTATGATGTTGAATGCAAGAAATTGCCGCCCATAGAATGAAGGTAATGCGAAGGTCCTTTTAATGGCGGAATGTTTCTGCAGGCGGCACCAGAATGGCTCTTCAAAGGTTGGAAATGGGTTTGAAAATTAGGGACAGATTCTTGTCATCAAGTTTTTCATGAGTTGGAATAATTAATGTAACGATCTTCGTCATGCCTAGCTGGCTCATCTTGAGATTAATTAATCATTTAACAATGTTTTTTTTTTTTTTTCAATAAACACATTACCACCTCTTTGATTAATTTATATAAAATATATACTTTTTCAGGAATTTCTCCAATCTCGATTCTATTTTCTTTCTTTGATTCCTTATTAGATAAGCTAAAATAATGCAAATGGATGAACATGTAAAATTTCGGCAGAATAATTATCATTAATATTTAGGAAATTGAATAACAATTAATAAACAACTAGATTAGAGAATGAGATGAATTTCTATTCTGATTAAATATAAACCGATATTAATATAATAAATAAGAAAATATAATTATAATCTTGAATCAGTTTTACACGTTTAAATTAAGTATTTTACAATTTTAAAGTGGTCAACTAAACATTAAAATAAAATATTAAAAAATTAATAATTAATATATTTTAAATTTTATTATAATTAAAAAACATTATTTTTTTTAAGTAAACAAAATTGAAAAGAAGTATCATTTACTATAAATAAAATGTATTTTTCGATACCTTATAATATTTTATATCCAATTTTCAGACTTCAACTTATAATATATATACCGCATTCAAAATTTTAAAATAGTTAGATGAGAGTAAAAAAAAAAAGGATTCAATATGAAGTTTGAACTTAAAATTAATTTAATTGACAAATGGTCGAATAAATATATAAAAAGCATGTGTAAAATTCAAACAAGAGACTTTGGATCCATGCATGAAAGTTGAGTCAGAGTGGTAAAAGGAAAAAAAATGACCTAAATATAAAAAACTAAAATAATATGATACATAGAGAATTTGAGGGACGTATAATCATCATTGTCAAGACTGATGAATGCATGTGGGGAATTTTGACTAGGATGATAGCCATTGGTGACACTTTTCACAGACCAATCTTCATTCCAACCACAACTGATATGTATAATAAAATGTTCTGCATAATCTCTCTCATAAACGTTGAAACCCAGAATTATAATATGTCTTCTTTTATATTTTAAAATCTAAATATATTTAAGAAGCCAACTAATAATATGTATAATATATAGACATGTAGAATTCTTGCTCTTGAAGTTTATTTGGGTTATTCACATTTCAATGGTTGACAAGGAAAAAAAAACGAATTTCAGCTTAGATATATAATAATTGAAGTCAACATCTGAAGGTTTTAGTATATAAGAAGCCATTTTGTACAGGGAAAATTTGTAGCAAATAACCAAACTTTTCTCTTCTCCAAAAGATCGTGTAATGGGAGATAATAGCTTGTTGGATTCTATTGGTGATGGGGAGATTGGTAGTGAAAAGGTGTGATTTTTCTTTGCTCTATGACTTTTCATATTGAATGTCTTTCTTTTCCAAAAGCTTTCTGAAATTATGGATATATTTGACATGCATATTCCATTAATCTTTTTCCAAAGTGAGGTATAGTTATTAATTTAATTTATCATTACAATTTTAGGAACGGTGCGTGCATGTCGATCTCTTAATTTCTTGTATAAATCCATTGAATTTGATCTCTCTTTCACCTAAAATTCAAAAGCATATCTTGATGTTGTATTGGGATGATTGCGATATTTTTTCAACAAGTGAGAAATAGTCATCTTTTCCATTATTGAGTCAAATATATCATACTTCTTAGAGTTTTAATGAAAGGTTTTGTGAGCTCCAATAATGGGTAATGGGTTTTACAAATTGAAAATATATGTAGTTTGTATTGTGAATTATAGAGTACATTCAATCCTAATCTGGATGAAGAAATAGATAAATTCACCTTAAATATTTTAGTGTGTGTTTACCATTTTAGACTTTTATTTTTATTTTTTAGAATTATAATAGAGTCTAATTAAACATATATATTTAGGTTAAATAGAAGTTTTTTTTGTTTGATTTCTCATAATAATTAATGCATGTATAATGACTTTAAAATAGGAAACTAAACACACTATCTGGTAAAAAAAATAAAAAATTTACTATTTCCCATTTTAAATAATTGATTCAATTGCCTCTCTCATAAAAAAAAAAAACATTTATATGACATTTGGAAAGATACGGTCATAATATTTTGTTTATATATAAAACATATTTGGAACATTTTTTTAATTTACTTTATTTTCATTTTGTTGTCATTTTATTTTGGGTATGTATGGTTTTGGACGTCTTTTTTTTTTTTTTTTTCATCTTCTTCAAATTTAAGTTTTTCTATAATTTTTAACTTAAAAAACTCAAATTCTCGTCTTCCATTTAAATGTTTTTGGGATTTATGTTTAATTTAAAATTTAAAAGGTTCATGAAGTGGAAATCCATAGAATTTGAAAGATCCTGTTAGAGGTATAATATTAAGGTTTGAAGAGAAAATAAAGAATTTATTTTTATTGTGAACGAATAAAGAACTAGATTAGAGTGGATTAATCTAGGTTAAATATAACAGCTTTTGTTATACAACATGCCAATTAAATATTTATTTATTTTTATCAAATCGGGCCAGTTAATATTAAACACTCCAACGTTGTTTAAAAAAATATGCTTTCAGTTGAGTAAATTATATTTTTTATATTATATTTGTCTTTAAAATAATTAAAATTTTTTATTTAATTTTCACATATTATAATTTATTAAGTTTTTAATTATATGATAGAAAATTAATTAATTTTAATGTGGTATGAATCATCATGCTCATATGAATGGATTTTAATTAATAAATACCATCTAGCAATGTCTGTCAAAATAATTAATATTTACTAATACGATAACTCTAACTTTACACCTATATTATTAGTTATAATATCAAACTTTTTATAATTAAATTCATATATTAATGTGTACATAACATAAAGTTAATTATTTTTTAATATTAATAATTAAAATCTTAATAGAATAATTGATATTTGATAAAAATTAGATAAAATATTTTTATAGTACTAAACATAAATTTTTATTTTAAGAAAAACATTTTATTTTTTAGGTTTTAAAAATTAATGATTTATAATTTTATTTACACAAGTTTTTTTTTCTTAATTTTTTAATAAAATTTGAAATAATAAAATATGTTTGAGTTTTGGTTTTAGTTTGTGTAAAATATTTTTTTAATTCCTTCAAAATTTTAACAAGATATTTTTAGTCTATTATATTTATTTTAAGTTAGATGAATAAAATTTATTTTATAAATGTAATTTTTTTTAAGTCAGAACGCTATATTACAATGCTATACATTATTTATAAAGGTGACGGTGTCATATAATATCATGATAAAAGTATATTATTAATCTATTTTACATAAATTTAAAAATATATTTTATGATGATAAATGGATATTTTACTTGCTTTCAAAAAAAAACTGTTTATTAAAGTAGTGATCAATCTATAAGAAGGTTAAATTCCAACAAATTAATTATGATGTGATATCTACCAACTTTTATAATTTTATTTATTTATGAAATATAGTTAAAAATCCTCTCCTCCCTCTTTTTCTATCTCAACAAAACAATAGTTATGTACATGCATCTTATCAATAACAACAAAAGTTTTGGTTTAGTTCAAAATCAAGATGTCTTATCATTTTATATATTAATAACTTGTTTTTTTTCTTAAATATACACATTATTCAATATTAATTATTTTTTACTATCTTAAAAAAAGAGAGTAGAAAAGTATACATTACCTTCACTTCTCTATATTAAAGCATATTAAGCTCATGTATCGTTAAAACAATATATTTTATAAATAATTACATTTCATTGAAATTGGTTAAAATAATAATAAAAAATTTTAAATTTTAACAATATTATTTTTACAAATAATTTTAATTAATAAGAAAAATATAAAACCAGTAAAAAAAATTATCTTAAAAAAATTATTTTACTAAAAGTTTTCAATATTTTAAAACTTAACCTCACAAAGCATATTTATTAAAATAATACATTCAAATTCAAAAAATTATTTACATTATTTTTTAATAGAAATAGGAATAATAAAAATATTTTTATTTTTATTTTATTTACAAAATAATAATAATATTATTATATAATACTTATTTAAATATTTAGTTTTAGTTTTAATCTTATATATTTTTTAAATACTTATATAATTTTTTTAAAACTTTACAAAAGTTTAAAACCTAATATATATTTAGCATTATTTTCAATTAAAATATTATATTAAATTAATATTTAATTATAATAAATAAATTATTTTTGAAGTTATAAAAAAGTGAAATATAAATAAAAATTGTAAAGATATAAATATTTATCAAAGTTATCCAAAATAAAATTTATAAAAATTTAATATTAATTAATTAAAAATGTCTTGACATAACAAATTTTCATTTTAAAACTAAATAAGAACTCAAGTATCCACAAAAAATAATTGTATCTCCCCAAATATACCATTTGCATGTATTATTAAGGCAGTAGAGTTATCTCACTAGCTTTAGGTTTCAAATCACTGAAAAGAATACCGAAAATAAAATACACTTTTTACCTCACTTAAATTACAACCTATACAAAAACATTTAGTTATTTATAAAGATGTCACCATATTTTGATGGTCTACAATTAGAATAGTATAGAATAATTAGACCTTGAAGGAAAAATTATATATGTCAAAATATGCTTCTACCTTTTCTTCCTCATTTTCTGGAGAAATGTTGAAAAGCACGAACACGTGAACAATTAGGTCAAAGTCGTCGTGTAAGTGTCACATCTATGCGAGCATGATATTTGTACAGTGCTCTAACTTGGTTTCACAAACTGTATTTTCTTTATATTATTTACTTATAAAAATTCAAATCAAGGGAAATATAAATCAATTTAGAGGACTAATTAGAACAATTGATTTTATAATGAAATAAAAAACCTTGTTAATATATATTCTCTTTAAAAACAAATATGAGAAAAAAATTGTATAAAACTAATGTGCATTTTCTTTTGCTGTAATGCATTTTTTTATACATTTTCATCTAAATGCATTTGTTTTATTTTATTTTTTTCAAATTATTTTTAAGAATTATAAGTATGAAATATATCAATCGGTTAATTATTGACGGCTAAAAGAAATAAAAATTTTATTTCACTATCCAGTAAGGTGCATATGATTTTTTTCATAACATATTATATAATTCATGTTATTTTCTACTGTTTATTCTCATTTCTTCATTTGTCATTTAATAAAAATGCAAATATTTCCACCCAAATATATTTTTATTTTTCTCTAAAATTATATTCACAGTAATTATATTATGTGATTCCTAAAACTAATCATACATATACCTTATAAACTCTTTCAAAACACTGCTAAATGTGTAATAAGCTAGCATAGATTGTTTTAGTTTTAATTAGAGTTAAAATTTAAATTCCTAAAATATTCCAAGGTTTAAAATTAATTTATAGAAAGTTTTATTGCAAACCCTACTTTATCTGGTTCAAATTATTAATTCAACACTTAATATGACATATATAAATGATGATAATTAAACTCTAATCATACCAAGGTTAAAAATTAATTTAAAACCAGAATTTTATTACTAACAGTATATATATTAACTCTTGGTTCAAATTATTGATTAGACACTTAATATGATATATTGAGAGAGACCTAAATGAAGATAAGATCCTTAAACACAGTGTGAAGTCAACTCAGATCCAGAAGTGTCAAAGACCCATGGATACACGTTTGCACCAATCATAACCCTTTTTTTTTCAATGCACCAAGCATAAATTAATCAAGTGCATTTTGACCACAGGCCTAGGTGTTTAAATCTCAGAAGATATCTCATTCACCTTGCACTCATCACCAGATAATATATATATACTTGAATTACCTTCCATTTCCTTCATCTCTTTCTCTCTCTGATATTTTATATATAGCCTTTTATATGCTTGTCTCTTGTATGTGTCATCATTGTTGCATGCAGGATCAAAAGCTGGAATCAGCTAAGAAGGAAATGGAAGAGGCTAGAGAAGAAAATAAGATGTTGGAGTTCTTTGACATCCTTCAACAAGACAAACCTGAAGATGCTGCAAATGCTAAAGGTGTATCTAGCCATGAGGAAAATGAAGAGAGTGAACTTGTGTCACTTTCTCTTGGGATGTCATTCAAAAGCAAGACTAAGGATGAGAGGAAGATTTACAAGAGAGATGATGAGGGCATGGATCAAGGACTCAGACTTGGGTTAGATATCAATTTGGATCCTGTAGATCATGCTGCTGAAGCTCTAAATATTTCCAGCACTGAAAGTAGCTTTGGTGAGGGAGGGAAGGACGAGGAACCATGTCCGATGTGGCCACCCAGTAAAGTTTTGAAGACAATGAGAAATGTGGATAAAAGTGAAGCTCAACATGATCAGCCCAAGAAGACTAGGGTTTGCATTAGAGCCAGATGTGATACACAAACGGTTAGTAACATGTTAATGATGTTATGTGCAGAAGATGGTGATATATTGCTTATTCTCGAGAATATAGCTAGTATTGACTTCATTGCTAGAAGTCTAGAACACTACAAATCTTAATTTAAAATAAATCAAACCTCAACGAAAATGGAAGAGAAATTAAAAACCAATCATGAAGGCGTCAAGGAGCAAGTTACTCTCTAAACACTTGCAGTCAGATTACTATCATCTTTATATTGCAATTAGTTTTTAATTTCTATATATATAAAAAAAATTGAAATTAAAGCTTTAATTTCTTGAACTTCTATACAGATGAATGATGGATGCCAGTGGAGAAAATATGGACAGAAAATGGCAAAAGGAAATCCATGTCCCCGAGCTTACTATCGATGCACTGTTTCTCCATCGTGTCCTGTAAGAAAACAAGTAAGACTTCTCTTATGACTTGTTCTAGATAATTAACAGGGTAGAATTAAAAAAATGGTTCTTTTATACAGGCAAAGAGAAAACAAGAATGAAAATTTACTCTCAGTTTTATTTTTTATTGTACTAGATCAAATAGATTGGTATAAATGAATCATAGGTTTGAGTTTGTGCTGGTTTTGTTAACTTTTTATTGATTTTAGGGACATCAAATTAAGTTCAAATTCGAATCCCAAAAGATTTTAATTAACCTTTTCTTATGCCTAATTAATATTCAGGTGCAAAGATGTGCTGAAGACATTTCCATATTGATCACCACCTATGAAGGAACACACAATCATCGACTTCCTATGTCAGCAACTGCAATGGCCTGCACAACTTCTGCTGCAGCTTCCATGCTCCAATCTCCCTCATTGAGGTCACAACATGGATATGGACTAGTCAATTCAGCTATATCCTTTATTACCAACTCTAGTGCTCCTAATTACAACCCTACTGATGCCCTAAACTTCTCCACAAACCAGGTTTCAAAACCACATCAATTCTACTTCCCCAACTCATCTATTTCAACCTTGAATTCTCACCCCACCATCACTTTGGACCTTACAGCAACATCCTCAAACTCGAGCCTCACTCACATGCCAAAATACTCATCAACAAGCCTTAATTTTTCCTCAGGTTTCTCTCCTCTACAATCTAGCATGCCTCCATCACCTTGGAGCAGTTATAGTGGTTACTTCAACTCAGAAACACTAACTCATAATAGAAACCATGGTGGTTACTTGTTCAACACTGGAAATCAAAATCAGCCATACCTAGGGCATCTCCATCAACCTATTCACACCAGCAACAATAACTTTTCTCAACGGCCTTTGCCTGATTCCATTGTTGCTGCAACCAAGGCAATCTCAAGCAATCCAAAATTTCAATCAGTGTTAGCAACTGCTCTCACAACGTATGTTGGCAATCTACCACTACCTGAGCAATGGAAGTAAAACAGCATAAAGCATTGTTAGAAGGATTCATCAAGCCTTACTCTGAGTCCGGTTGTATTAGGTTGCCATTTTTAAATAACTTGTTTTGGTGTCCTCGTTCACTAGGTCCATAAGTATTTGTACACATGTTATAAGTATTTTATTCAGCAAATTATTATTATTATTATTATTAGTTAATAATATTATAATTATTAGTATTCTAAATTAATAATATTAAATTATTAGTTATCTAAATTATTATTATTATTATTTTATTTTTAAAAATCAGAATCTCTAATACAGAATCACCACTAACATCACATAAAGACTGACTTGAAAAGACCTTCTTTTTGAAAGACATATTTTCTAGGGTTGTAACTTAGGTACATGATCAAGAAGAAAAAAAAATGAATGATCTTTTTTATCTTTTAAAAGTATTTTTTTAGTTAATCCTTAAATTTTAGTAAGTAAATAAATAGTTTCTAAAAAATATTTTTTTTATTATTCATGTTTTGTTTTAAACAAGTTTTTGCAATTTAGTATATGTTTATATACTAAATTATATTTTATAATAATATTTTGGAAATTAGATACGCTGAAATGATAACATATAGAGATTTATTTAAAATAAAAATGGTTGTGAAATATTAAAGTTGTTTTTTAAGAAGTTTATTTTTATTTATTTAAATTTTAAGATTAAATTAAAAAATTTATATATCTTAAGAACTAAATTCATCATTCTTAAAGAAATTAATACCTGAGGTTGTAAAGGCGTTATAGTAATTGACTTTTTTTTTTTTTATATTCTAAGGAAAAAGTTGTATGCGTAGATAATCTAACTTCCTTTACATGAACATATATTTTATAATAAAAATTATGTAATTACATTAACAATAATATATTTTATTACATATATTTCTTTATTTTTAAATAAAGACAATTATAAAATAGAATTAAATATGTTTATAGTTTTTATTTTGATTTTTATAAATTTTTCTTTGTTTTTATCCTATAAAATTTAAAATCACTCTTTGTCATATTGGGTAAAATATGATTTCCATATAATAATTATAATAAAAATTTATATTTAATATAATTAAAATATTTTATTTCATATAATATCGATTATTTTATTAAGTTTTTATTTGTCTTCATCAAAGAAGTAATTCATTTTTATATTATATGAATTATCAAATGATGCATATATTACTAGAAAACTAGTTTTTTTCTGCCAATTTTCATGCAAAAAATTGTTTAAATTTATAGAAAATTTATTTCTTGCAATTTTTACCAAAATTTTGCAAAAATATTCCCATGAAAAATGAGAATTTTTAGCAGCATATGATGTATATGATTTTAATTGTAGAAAAATTTAATTTCATAAAAGATACTGTCTAATTATAAATATATACAATTAAAGTCATGAATTTCATAGAATTTTTTCCTAATTTTTCCTATGAGTTTTAGAAAAAACGTGGATAAATTGTTTCCAAATGCTACTAGTTGACACTTAAATTCATACATATCATTATATAAATAATTTAATGATTTAAGTGACATAAAACTAATTGTTTCTTAATAAAATAATTAGTAACGTATAAAAATCCAACAAAATATTTTTATATTATGTAAAATCCTTATATGAAAAAAATATTTTATCCATTTAGTTTTTAGTTTCTTTATCCTTCAAAATTTCAAATTATTACTTTTAATTTATAATATTCATTTGAAGATAGATAAATAACATTTATGTTAAATATTTTATGAGTTCTTTTTAATCACCATATCACATTATATTACACAGCATTAATGTTGTCACTTACAATTATCATTTAATTAACCTTTTGTTCAACATATAAGAAGTTAGTTAGTATTATACAATTAGATATTAAAAGTGTTGATTTTCAAATTTAAAGATAAAAAGCATTTTTTCTAATTGTATAATACTTTTAATAGGTGTGCTTGTAGTAATAACATCACATCAAAATAAATTATTCAAAAATTAAAAAATGGAATTATTAGTAATAGCATTTCCTGAAAATATTAGTAGGTGTGTTTGTATTTGCAAAATAGAAACTATCTTCTATATGAATTGCTTATAAATGGTGCATCAAAGTCATTGAGTGTAGAAACTTGATCTAAACTGAATATTGAGTACTATTTTATTTCTTTAGAGGCTCAAACACTATGTCCTTCCCTTGTACCAGACTTCGTCCTCTTCTTTGTTGCTCATGGTGTTGGACTTGTTTAATTATCATGTTAGAACATGGTAAATTAGGAATAAACTTTGTCATAGACATACGTTATTTCCTACCTTAGGTATAGTAATTGCCACATTTGTTGCTCCTCAGTATAGAATATTGCTTAGCCAATTTATGTGGGTGTCTTGCTTCATCATTAGTCTTTTTCCATTGCTTTCCTAGCCTTGATATGGTGAATTGATTGGCTAAAAATCAATTGCAGGCCATAGATTTTGTCCATTAGAGGGAAACATTATGTAAGTTACCAAGCAAAATCTATGTTTTCGTTTGATTATTTCCATGCTTGCCAACTGGTACGATTAAAATCCCTTCTTGCAGCATTGATATTCTCTGCTTCTGCATCGTGTGTAACTATAATTTCAATTCATCTTTATATGTAAATATGTTTTAGTACATTGATTCCTTTTTTATTCAAGCCTACTTGAAAGTTCAATGTTAAATAGGATTTGACAACATAAAAGTAGCTTAGTTTTATTATGTTGAATCCAATGTTTAAATTGGATTTTGTTTCAATTTATGTGAAGTGCAATTTCAAACAATTCCTTCAATTGATCTTATTCTCTTCAATATTACAGAACATGGATGGTATTTCTTTCAATCGCGGTTGGATGTATGATAGATGTTATAGTGGTAGAAGAGGTTTGAAAGAGTTTTTTGTATAGGGGTTGAAGAGTTTGTTAGATTTGCTCGACAATATGAGTATTATGATCGTGATGGGGGAATTCGATGTCCATGCACCAAATGCGATTGTATAAGAATTTTAAAAGATGAAATCGTCAAAGTTCACCTTTACAAGCAAGGGTTCAAACCAAATTATTGGATTTGGACGGATCACGGAGAACGTGTGTCTGAAGTTGAACAAAATGGTGATGATAATTGTGTTGGCGGTTCAAGTATTAATGTACACATGACTGAATAAGACCAATTTATGTCAATGCAAGAGATGATGTACAATTCTCTCTGGCAACATCAATCATTTGAAGGACCAAATTGTCTTATAATAGAAGAGCCACCAAATGAAGCAATTCAAAGGTTTTATAATTTGTTGGCAGAGACAAATAAACCATTATTTGAGGGGGCAACAGATTCAAAATTGTCAATATGTGTTAGACTTTTAGCATGCAAGTCAAATTGGAATATTCCTGATCAATGCTTAGAATTTATGACATGCATGTTGTTGGATGTCACACCTATAAAAGACAATTTGCCAAAAACTTATTACGATGCCAAGAGATTAGTATCAAAGTTGGGATTACAGGTGAAGATGATCGATTGTTGTGTGAGTGGGTGTATGTTTTTTTATGACAATGGCAATGGCAAAAAATATGCTACATTACTTCAATGTAAATTTTGTCAAAAGCAAAGATATCATGAGAACAATAGTAGAACAACCCATATATAAAAAGCCAGTTCCAGTAAAGTCCATGTTTTACTTTCCTATAATTCCTATATTACAAAGAATATTTGCATCAATGCAAACTGCTGAGCAAATGACTTGGCACCATGACAATAGAACTTCCGATGTATTACACCATCTATCAGATGGTGAAGCTTGGAAACACTTCGATCGAAAACATCCAACTTTTGCCTTGGGTTATATTCTGATGGATTTAATCCATATATTCAGGCTTCATCTTCACCTTATTCTTGTTAGCTTATCATTGTTACTCCATACAATCTTCCTCCTGAAATGTGCATGACCAAACCATATATGTTTCTAACTTACCTAATTTCGGGTCCATCCAATCCAAAGGCCTCTATTGATGTTTACTTAGAGCCTTTAATTGATGATTTGAAAAAATTGTGGAATGGTGTTCTCACATATGATATTTCAAAGAAACAAAATTTTATGATGAGGGCAGCTTTAATGTGAACAATTAATGATTTTCTTGCTTATGGGATGTTATCTGCTTGGGGGACTCATGGTAGATTGACTTGCCCACATTGCATGGAGCATAAAAAATCTTTTACATTAAGTTATGGTTGTAAAAGTTGTTGGTTTGATTTGCATCAAAGGTTCTTACCAAATGATCATCTATTTAGAAGAAACATTAAAGTCTTTCGAAAGGGAGAAGTTGAAGTAGAAGGGTCACCTCCTCGGCTAACACCTACACAAGTTTGGAGAAGAGTAAAAGATTTACCAAAAGTAACTGAGTGTGGTATTACAAGGATAGAAGGATACAAAGAGTGACATAATTGGACAAAACGAAGCATATTTTGGGATCCTCCGTATTGGAAAGATAATTTGTTGAGACACAATCTTGATGTAATGCATATAGAGAAGAATTTTTTTGATAACATATTCAACACTGTGATGAATGTAAATGGAAAGACAAAAGATAATGAGAAGGCGAGGAAGGATATAACTTTGTATTGTAGGCGTCCAGAATTGAATTTAAAGGCACAAGCTAATGGCAAAATGTTAAAGCCTAAAGCAAACTACACGTATAATATTAAACAAGTAAAGTTAGTTTGTCGTTGGTTAAAAGAACTTAGGATGCTCGATGGTTATTCTTCCAACTTGGCAAGATGTGTTGATGCTTAAAAGGGGAGGATTCATGGCATGAAAAGTCATGATTGTCATGTATTCATGGAATATTTACTTCCTATTGCATTTAGTGCGTTACTAGTACATGTTTTGAATCATCTTATTGAAATTAGCCATTTCTTCAAAGATTTGTGTTTTACAACGTTGAAGAGGGAAATGCTTATTAGGATGGAAGAAAATATTTCAATCATTCTTTGCAAGTTACAAAGAAT